AGATAAAAATGTTGATGTCGCAGCCCCATTTGTACATAGGTAATTGCGTTCCCAGCCATGCCCCAGTAAGAGGGCAAAAACAACCACGACGAACACATCTCCAGTACAGCACAGATTTTCACATTCACCACCATAGTGCTGTTTTTGCAGGAGCGTCTCTATGTGCAGATGGTGTTTTCTTCACAGAGTTAGACTGCTGGACATGCAGATGCAGGTTTTGCAGATTCAAGTGTGCACAGTTATAGCAAATGAACTCACATTAAAAAAATAATAATAACTGTCTGAATAAACGAAACTAGGCCAATGGTGTTGGTGTGTGAAGGCTTCACTGTTCTTCAAGGACAACAGAGTTAACAGCATGATGTTATTAAGATGTGCATTTACAACTCTAAACCTGTAAAAGTTTATGTTAAACCAGCAGTGTCATCAGATAACTAAAAGTAATAAAAATTAAATAAGTTTTATATATAGCAAAAAAGCGATGTATTATCTCATCACTCCAGGCAAAAGTTGTGTCAAACGTAGAAAAGGAGGTTAACAAGAGGCTCTGTAACCGTATTTGTTTGATGGCATGAGGCATATTTTTTTAACAGGGGGTTATGATGGGACATACAGTTTTATACAAAAAGTCTTCTTGTAGTTTGTCAGAAGAAAGCAACCGAATCCGTCAAAAGTCAGGACAACGTTTGTTATTCAGACTTCTCCCTCTGAAGTTGACGTGTATCTCACACTTTCCAAAGACTGTTTTTGTGTTTCTCCTGATGATGTTGTTGTCTTCAAACAACTGCTCCACCTCTTTACACTCTTATCAACAGGAAGGTGTTACCACTTCATAGCGATCACTCCCTCTCTGTATTCTGGAGATAAAACGGTCGTTCAGGGGTGATCTGCAGAGAATGGGGTTTGCAGATGTATTCTGCAGGGAGGACAGTGTGTTGATAAGATTGTGACACCTTAAGTGAGTAAATCCTCACTCAGTTTAGTCAGACTTGGGAAAACCAAAAACAGGAAGAGGCAGGACTAGACAATAAACAATATCACTCTTACTGTATACACAAGAAAGAAAGAAAAAAAAAAAAGAAAACTAAATTTAAAACCATGTTTTAATGTTTCTGCTTTGTTGTAGGGGCTTTGAGGTATGTTTGTCTTTATGCTTCTTCACTGCAGATTTGGGATCACATTATCATGTATCCTATCATAGTATATTTTTGTATTGAATCATATTGAATTGTATCATATTGCATTAAATTGTATCATATCATATCACAATGCGACAGATCTTAACTTTTTATAACTTTTCTTTCTTTCAATTTCGTCAAATTTCGTTACGTATCTGATTGTATCATTACATATTGTTCTTGTTGTTTTGTATCCTATCATAATATATCAACGTGTCCTATCGTTTCATATTTTATTGTACCGTTTCATACCGTATCGTAACATATCAATGTGACTTACATGAATGTTCTCTCTTTTATTTAATTTCGTTCTGTATCATATTGTTTTTTTTTTATAGACAGCTATAAGACATCTAAGTTTTGGGTTTTTTTTTACCTAATTTCAGTCTAGATTCTGTATATTTTTAGACAGAATTTAGATGTTGCACTTTAACCCAGTATTCAATACCTGTTTATTTCAAAAAGCAACTGTAAGTTGCATAAATGATCTCCAAGTACTTAACCAAGATAGTTATCATAGCCGTTGAGCAATATACAGTGTAGTATAGATATAGCCCAGATTTAGACTTGGTCTAAATTTAGACATCTAAAAAACTGTCATTTTTATACCTGTGGTAGCCTGATTTTAGACCAGTCATCTAGGCTACATTTAGACGTCTATTGGACCAAAAAATGCTCAGTGGGTATCTGTTCAAAAACTGTTGTATCATATCATCATCCATTATTTACACCTATACTTGTATTAATATTCTCACAATCTAGTGTTGTGTTTGCATATAGAATTTGATACTGTGACATTTTTATTTTGTGCTTGTTTCACTATCAATCCACTTACAATCTACAGTATTTGTACAAACAAAGTTAGTCACACAAGTCAATGTCTTATTATGATTGTGAATTCAGTGAAGGTAAATGCAAACATTACAGACCAGTCTTTACAAATGCTCACAAGATGTGATCGTTCTGCACGTCTGTGGGTCGTCACCGACAACCAGCCCTGAGAACGACTGCTTGTTTGAAGTGCTGATCACCTCATCGTTCCCTGAGTGCTATGTGCACAAGACTCATCTCATCTCTGAAACTGTGAGTACTTTGATCATCTGCGGTCGCTCTGAACTCATTATGTGCTTGATGACTGCCGATTAAGATAAAGTTAAACAAGGCAACATGCAGAAATGAAGAAGTGTATCTGATAAAGACCCCCATGAGTGAAATAATACACTTTGAAATCAACATTGAAGTATCCTGCAAAGATGAGCCGTGATTTCTGATCACACACTGCTGTCTGAAGCTGTTTGTATTCCTACCCCCCTCCTGTACATTACACAAGCTCATGAATGACAAGCACAGCAGATTCACAGTAGTGAAGTAAAGCTGTTGACTGTGGGACAGAAAAAAAAAAGAAAAAAAATCGTTGTTGCCTGCAGGCACAGTCACAGCCAGGAAACTGGGACGATTCTCACTGGCTTTGCACTGACACCGAAACTGACAGTTTATGTTTTGACAGTTTTTTTTTTTGTAATCAACAGACCTGTACAGTCCGTGTGATTGACAGATTGGTTTTGTTATGCAAATTTGAACCAATAATTGGGATAGTAAATAAACTGCCATTGGATTATTTATTTGTTCTGACACGCTGATTTGAATATGTCGCTAATCAATATATATAGACAATCAATTTTCCATTTTGATGTGCAGCGCTCATTGGCAATGATAGTTTTACACCAAAACAAAATGAAAAATAACACAAAGCGTCTTTTTGTTTATGAGAAAGACAGTCAATGAATCATGCCAACTCAAAGCAAAAGTGTTCAAACTGCCAATTTCAATGGCCGAGGAGCAGCAGCAGCAGCGAGCCAATGGGCTTTATCCTCGGCCCGGCAGACCTGTCTGTGCACCTGCTGATTCCCAGGCCTCGTTGCCAAATCTTCGACTACAGTGAAACCCAGCGTGAGTGAAACTGGCCCTGAGCCAGAGGAAGACCTGGTTGACTACCTCCTGACACAATCGCTAAAAAGCAGGGGATCCTGGGAAGAGGAGGACCAGCCCTGTGTGAGGATGAGAGAAAATAAAGATGACTAACATGAGAAGAGAAAAGGAGGAGGAGGAAAGGAAAAGTTCACTGAACTCCTGGGAACCTAAAACCTGTCTGACTTGGCCCTGCGCTATTGCTCAATGAGCACACTGTGAGTGTGCACAACCTGTAGGTCTTCGTTTACGTCACGTATAGGCCAAGTGTAGATCTCCACGCATCATGACAGGACTTTTATTCATGGAAAAAAACATTGCAAAGAATCTATGCATTCACAGAAAGACAGGGAAGAAGTGTGAGTGGAAAGAGTCATAAATAAGACGTGACATTTCTCTCAAAAAGTCACGGCCTGTCTTGACCCTGGGCTGCCACCTTTCAAGATATTTATAACCTTAGTGCTCCTGACCTGAACCTGCCTTCACAAAAAGTGGAACATCCTGAGGCTGTTTGGAAAAAGATAGACGTGGTGTAAATCACAGCCAACAAGATGAAACTCCAAATGTTAGATGTTTGAGTCTTCGAAAAATGAAGGTGCAAAAACTTAAGAATCGGATCCGATCGATTCCAAAATCAAGGATTTAGGCAGATTATTTAACGAACTATACTGAAGGCTAGACTGTAAATTATTTTATTAATCTCACCTTGCACATGAACACATTGTGGTCGTGCAACTAGTTTAGGTTAACGAACCAAAAGTTCCTTATAGTAGTTTTAAAGGGAGAAGGATCTAGAACAAAAACCTGACAGGCTTTAAGGACACTAACAGCGTGTGAAGTTGATGCTAACTGTGTTTATCAGAACAAACAAATGCTGTCAGTATATGTCTTATTTTTAATCTATATAATTCATCTGAGTACTTTCAACCTGTTAAATCTACCTCTGGGATCTAGAGGTGTTTCCAAACTTCTCACTAGCTGGATTTCATCACAGGTCACGCTGTGTCCACGGTGTCAGGTGACAAAACACCAGCTCCTCTCCGCGACCTCCCAATGTGAGGTCATCTGGACCAGACGAAGGCTGTCCTGCTTTAACCCGTCGATAACGGCTGTTTTGAACAGAACCCTGACGCACGACCGTGTGATGGACGGCGCTCTGACTAATAACAAACAGATTTTCGATGACTTGGGATGTGTATGCGTGTGTTTTTTCACTCATCTGTTACTCCCTCAACCTGCTTTCAACAAATGCATTGAAGGGCGCTCAAGCTAACAATGGTCTTCTAAACCCTTAGTAATCCGTCTTTGTATCGCTCTTATTCACAATCACTTCACACAAAGCGCAAAGAAACTCTGATTACGTGTTTGTTTTTACCCAAACCAACCATACTGAGGACTGTACAGCTGCTGCTTACTGCCATTGATACACAATCCATCGAAGTGATCACCAAAGACACTGACACTGTTTATTCTCAGCCAGCGTATTTGACTCAGTCGCTGTTATGAAAAACACTCTACAATGCTAATTCAAAGACAGTACAATCAGACACAGCAATCAGTCACAGCATGGCGCCGCTGCAGCCCGCCAGCATCATGTGGATTACATTAGAATTAGTCAACCTGGGGCTCAGCTGGAGACCAAAGGGTTACTTATCATATCCAAAGACTAAGTGATGGTTCAGGAAAAGAACCTGGAGTGGTTTGTGGGCTTATAAGGACTCCTTGCAGAGAACAATGCTCACAGCGTCTTGGTGCTTTCACAGCTCACCCCCCTTGTCTCTACAGTCAGATTTGAAACATGATCGGTCGTTTCATTTCATGAAGCCGTTCTAAAAATACACAGAACACAGGGGCTGTAACTTGCACTTCATTTATTTGCATCACATCCCTCCAACATGTAAAAAAGACACACATATGAGAGAAGGAGGTGGTTAGTTCAGATTAAAGACAGGGTTACAAATGTAACAAAACCAGTTTGTGGAGTACAGTATGGTATTTAAATCCATGTTTTATCTCATCTCATAGTTCATACACATAAAACATGAAGAATGGCCTGTTTTAAACAAACAGAATATCATCACAAGACTTCCACAAGAAGCATAACAAAGCAAAGCCATGATTCTGGTCGCTTATATATCCACCAGATAAAATGGGACGCAAAATATGAAGCATCACAGACCCTCAAGGCTTCTTCTCATACAGTGTATTGGTTTCCACTTACATTCAAACAGAAGCCGTTTAGCGTGCTCTAACTCTGTGCATACAGGGCTATTGAGGAGATAAGGAGTGTATTGAGCATACAAACAAAGAGGGCCGAATGAAAAAAGCCAGGTGGGAGGGACTGCAGGGTGGAAGTCAAGACTCCTGCAGTGCCAGTTTTCACAGATGCAGATTGATGGGAGGAAGGCACAAAAAGCCAATTGATTGCTGCTCCCTTGCAACCTTTTTAAGCTCAGGCAAGAGGGTTTCCAATCAAGTTCCTGGGAATTAAGATACAGGAAATAAATCTATGTTTGCTTTGTCAGAAAAAAACTAAACAAAACATAATGCTGTGTTTGTTTTCTGCAGATCAGCTCTTAAAATATCCACGGTGATGAGACTAACTTTTAGATAAGGATACACCAGTCTTGGAGCTTTCACACACAGGTGAGAATGTGGTATCTCGCACTGCAACATGAACTTGCAGCTGCTGCATATAAATAGGTTGGTGCAGCCAGACAGCGAGAATACAACAGAGAAGTAGCTAACGCCCATGTGTCCAAACAGAGTGTGGACACTTTCTGTTTCTCTCTGTCTCTCTCACTTGCATTGAAACCTGCAAAGCACAGCATGCAAATGGACCACATTTACATGACTGCCTGCGCTTTTAATGGGCCTGTATAGTTTGTGTTATGTTTCCTAACTTTGACCTCAATTCTCTGGACTTTTCTAACAAATGGCTCAACAGTGGTGCAAAAAAATTGCCTGTACATCAATTATATAACATGTAAAATATGTTTTTATGCAACCCTGGAACATCACACATTAGAATATAATGTAAACACAGCTGAACGGAGTGAAACCAGACTCCTCTCTTTGTTGTCACTTTGCTTGTGTTTTACTTTCCTGCGCCATTTGGCATCCCCAAGTGAAAGAAACCAATTTTTTCTGCTTTCTGATCAGAATCTGAGTATGTAAGTTGGCTGAGAATGAAGAGTCCTGTTAACCTGTTAGTATAAATAAATAAGAGTTTTGTCCGTAACCCACAGGGTTTAGAGTCTATTCATAAGTTCAGACAAAGCAGAAGAACTTCTTCCAGCTACACCTGGAGAAAGCTTTGGTGCGCCTGTCAGAAAACCTCCTCTTCTTGTTCTTGCGAGCTTTGTTCTTAATGGCGGCAAAGATGGCCGAATCGAACGCCTCCTTCAAGTTCTTTTGAGTGAGTGATGAACACTCGATGTAGTCCGTGGCCCTGATCTTGTCCGCCATGCTCCTGGCTCTGGAGCTCAGGATGGGCTTGACGTTAGATTTGTCCAGGTTGATGAGGACGTTCACATCCAGTAAGAGGTCGGACTGCGTCCCGACAAGAACGATTGGCGAGGAGGGGTTATGAGCCCGGATCTCAGAGACCCACTTTTTGGTGATGTTGTGAAATGAAGTGGGGTTGACCATGCTGAAGCACAGGAGGAAGACATCTGTGTGAGCGTAGGACAGAGCTCTGAATTCATCAAACTCCTCCTGAAAGAGCAGAAACAGAGAAAAGATGTGTCAATTGAAATATGTGCAGACGTGATGGAGTGAAAGGGACTGAGTCACCGCAGAGTCAAGGAAAAGATCAGTCACACATTAAGATGCTGCACATGATGAAATCTTGTTACTGAGTCACATATTGGATGAAGCAATGATGTGGCACAGTTTGTACCCTCATAAATCATCATCTTTCTCAACATTAAAACCCCTCAAGAAAACAACAGAGATTTACTCAGCGAGATTTTGCTTACCAAATGGAAACATGAGCTCAACAACAAATGAAAAACTGATGTGACTTTAAAACTACGGAGTAAATAAATGTTGAGAACAAGCTTGACTGTGCAACATCCAGTTAAAAACTTAAAATTAGGAGCAATCTTACCTGTCCAGCAGTGTCCAGAAGCTGAACTTTGACTGGAGATCCTTCTACCTGGACTTGGCCTGTGGACAAAGAAGTTGGTTTAAGTTGGGCTCACTTTATATCAGAGATATAAGACACATTTCAGACACAATTTAAACTCTCCATAGAATATTTTAGTTCTCGACTGTAAGTAGCCACAGCTTAAAATCTCTTCATATAGGTTTATTGACAATTAATTTCACATTGTATGGCTTGTCATTCTTTAAATAGTGACAAATACAGCTTTTAAGTCTATTTTCACACATTTTAATACTGAATCATAGCAAATGCTCTAATTTTCAAGCATATGTATGCCATTTCTATAATTTTTGAGCATGAAACTATAAAGTAGTATGTAAAAGTCATCTTCAAAAATTACAGAAAGGCTGTTAAAAGATAAGGTTTTATTGGTATAAAGTCTGAACTTTGTGTGAGCAGATAATCTGAAGACAACAGCCAACTTTTTGAATATTGTCAAGGATTACTACGAACAAATACAGCAAAGTAAACTCACCAGAGAAGACATCAAAACCAGTCTGTTGGTACTCTGCCGGATATCCATTGGAGGTGTAGCTGACTATCATGCTGGTCTTCCCCACAGCTCCATCTCCGACCAGCATACAGCTGATGACCTCCGGATCCAGCTCGTCCTCCCGGGTCAACCCGCAAGCTGAGGGGACTCGGGACTCGTGGTAGAAATAATCCATGTTAGGTGGCATGTCGAGCCGAGCATGAAACCTCCGACTGCAGACTCTCCTCTTCTTTCCTGTTCTCTGTGATACTAGGCCGTTGTTGTTTCTCAGTGACTGCCGAGCAGGTCTGACTTTTGCATGCCGATAGGCTGCTGATCCTGTAGTGACTGACGGGCGACATGTGCGGGGAGGGAGGATTTTACTGCAGCTGAGTGACCAGACAGGTTGTAGTTTGCATAGACACTCCCTCTGAGACCAAAAAGACAGACAGACAGAACACACTCTAGATCATGCATGTTAATGTTTGTATTGTGACAAAATAAGTTGTGTGTTTAAGTGTGTTAATTGGTTTAGATTGTGTCTCTTTGTATAATATGTTACCTCTTGTTTATAATGTGTTATTCTGTGTTAAATGGAATATGTTTCAAATGACAAGTTCCTGCCCTTTATAAAAAATGATTTTATCAACTTACTTACGTACATACTTATTTATGATCATATTTCTACTTTAGCAAGAGACAAATCTCGATGAATCCACTGTTGTACCATCTTGTATAAGGTATAATGGGTAAGGAAGCAGAGAACAAGGCTGTACTTAAAAGATTTATAAATAATATGAATAATTTCCCATTGCAAGAGCAATAAAAACATTCATTTTTTAAGCAGTTTATTTATTAACATTTTTTTGATAAAATTTCTATTATAAAAATAATAGAAATGACAATAATAATAATAATAATAATAATAATAATAATAATAATAATAATGAAAATAATAATTATGTATAAAAGAAAATATAAATGTTAAGAAAAGGATAATAATAATAATAATAATAATAATAATAATAATAATAATAATAATAATAATAATAATAATAATAATATATAAAAGAAAATATAAATGTAAATATCAGGAAAAAACAGTTAAAATAATAAATAAACAAATTATTTGAATAATTAGATAAATCAAAATAAATTTAAGACAAAAAAAAATACATACAGCAAAGGTCAAGACATTGACAATGGAAAAGGAAAAATGGAAAAAACCACTACACCATTTACAGTACTCATCTATTTACCTGTGAGAAATTAAATAAAATAATTCTAAGGGAAAAAGCATTAAAACTTTTTAAAAATAACATTTCATTAACATGCAGATCTGCACATCTCACCAACAGCCCTGGCTTATTAAGAACTAGTGTGCCCTCCAGTGGGAGAAATAAACACTACACTAACTATGATCACATGACTCCGCGTGTGTCACCTGATTCTCCGGGTCCACCCTGTGTTGTGGAGCCCGAAGCCAAGCTAGCTGTTATTGTGATCTTCTAAAAGGTTGATATTTCATAAACTCATTCGTCTGCTGCTATGTAAAGAGTTATAACCTTACGTTTAACTTTGGCGCATGCGTAGATTGGACATACACTGGTGTGGCCTGGAGTTGTCAGAGCTAGCTAGCAACTTAGCAATGTCGTTTTAGGATTTTTTTATTTCCGCCTTTATTGAAATTTGTGGCGAAGCAATTCGTTGGTGAAGAAATAGGCTGACACGAGATATATTCAACCATGGCCTCAATTCTTGACGAGTACGAGGACTCGCAGAACACCAGGCAAAGTGCGCAGCAGCACAGCCGCCTATCATCTGCCAACATCGGGTTAACACATTCAGGTAGGTCGCCTTCTCTCTGCGAGAATGCTGTCATGTTTTCAGAGTGTAAAAGCATATGAATTAACAGTGCAGTCTGTCCTTCTTGTTCCCTCCCTGTCAGGATTTGTAAATGTGAGGCTTGAGGAGGAGAAGCCAATCTTCAACAAGCAGAGGATCGATTTTACTCCACCTGAGAGGATAAACCATCTTGCAGTCTGCAACAATCAGCTCTGCATGAGTCTGGGAAAGGACACTCTGCTGAGGCAAATAACACGATCATAACACAGTGATAACACTCACTATTGTTTGTATGGTTTTGATTTGATCAGTCTTTATTGGCTGTTCCTCTTTGTGATTAGAAGCACTGATCTGTTGTTGGCTGTTGTTGTTTACTGGAGCTGATACAGTATGCTGATACTGATGTTTTATGTTCTTTTGCACTTGACAGGATTGACTTGGCCAAGCCAGATCAGCCTAATCAGACCGAGTTAGGAAGGAAAGATGAGAGCAAAGTGCACAAGCTGTTTTTAGACCCCACTGGTGAGCATATAAAAACCTTTTTGGGCATTGCTTCAAAAATAATGAATGAACAATGTGTTGTTAATTATGTTTAGACTTCCTGAAAGTCAGTAGACTGGAATAATACCTGCAGGATTACATTATTTGTGGATATTGAATGTAGATGCTGCAGTCAGTATTTATAAGCATCAGCCAGTCCCACTGAGCATTTTTTGGTCTAAAAGAGGTCTAATAGACGTCTAAATGTAGCCTAGACAACTGGTCTAAAATCAGGCGACCACAGGTCTAAAAATGAAAGTTTAAATAAGTCTAAATCTGGGCTATATCTATACTGCACTGTATATTGCTCAACGGCGATCATAGTTATTTTGGTTAAGTACTTAGAGATCAGCTATGCAACTAAACAGTTATCGAATAATGGGTTAAAGTAAAACGTCTAAATTCCATCTAAGAATATACAGAATGTAGACGGTTAAAATTAGGTCTAAAAAATACTAGATGTCTAACAGCCGTCAACTGCTCAGTGGGTTATTTTTACATAAAGTATATTGCATACTGAGCGAATGATCAACTATATCACTTTTTTAACAGCAGAAGCTGGTAACTAGAAAACCATCTGCACCTCTTATTAAAATAACTTGTTTAATTTTTTTGATCAACCTTGTTTGCGTGCCCAGTGAGGCTCAACTTGGATTGATGTTGATTTATGCTTGAAGTACTTCTGTGTTTACATAATGAGTCAGAGATTGAATTGGAGCCACATTTACTACATCAGTGATGACTTGACCTCTGTCATGGTTATGACCTTTTAACAGCAGATTTATCCTCCTCCTTATCGTCCCACCGCAGGCTCCCATCTGCTGATCAGCCTCAGCACCAGCGAGTGTCTGTACCTCAACAGAAACACGCAGAAGGTGCGCAGTTTGTCACGTTGGAGAGGCCACCTCATCGAGAGCGTAGGCTGGAACAAGCTGCTAGGTAACGAGACCAACACAGGACCTATCCTGGTCGGCACCAGCCAAGGCATCATCTTTGAGGCCGAGATCTCTGCAACTGAGGGGAGCCTGTTCAACACCAATCCAGATCAGTACTTCAGACAGGTCAGAATGTGATAGGAGGTGTATTTAAGGGTCTATGGATGTGGGCCATGTTTACAAAATGTTCTATTCAATACTGAGCAATAAGGATGTCTGTATTTTGTATCCATGAGGATTGGTCCTTCAAAATGTATTCATTCAGCTGACTCTGTTCGAGACAGGTCCACTCCCTGGAGGAGGATGGAAAGCCTGCACCGGTCTGCTGCCTGGAGGTGGAGCGTGGCCTTGAGAACAAGTACTTCATCATCGCCACCACCCGCAAACGTCTGTTCCAGTTTGCCGGGAAGGTAGCAGAGGGTTCGGAGCAGCAGGGCTTTAGCTCCATCTTCAGCCAGAATCAGGACCTGCTGCCCAGTTTCCAGGAGTTCCCGGCCAACATGGGCTACAGCGAGATCACCTTTTACACCTCAAAGCTTCGCTCCTCACCTAAAGCGTTTGCATGGATGATGGGAAATGGAGTTCTTTATGGTCAGCTGGACTATGTCAGACCTGACTCCCTGCTGAGTGATGTGCAGGTAACTTCTTTTTGTTCCTTTACCTCTCCATGTTTGCCTTTACTGTTTCTTTATCCTTATGTTTTTCCTTCTTGCCTTCAAACAGGTTTGGGAGTACACCCCGGATATAGATCTGAGCGTCAACAAGCCCATCTCCATCGTGTTGACCCAGTTCCATTTCCTGCTGCTGCTACATGACCGAGTTAAGGCCATCTGCACCCTGAATGGACAGGTGGTCTACGAGGATGTGTTCCCTGATAAATTCGGCGTTCTTAAGAAGATGATCAAGGACCCCATTGGTGGTTTGGTGTGGATCTACACCGAGAGAGCTGTTTTCCGGTACCACGTCCAGCGAGAATCCAGAGATGTGTGGCAGATGTACATGAGCATGAGTAAATTTGATCTGGCTAAGGAGTACTGCAGAGACCGACCCGAGTGCATGGATATGGTGCTGGCGAAGGAGGCGGAGCACTGCTTCCAGAACAAGCGCTACATCGAGAGTGCCAAATGCTACGCGCTGACTCAGAACTATTTCGAGGAAATAGCGCTCAAGTTCATCGAAGCCAAACAGGAAGAGGCCTTGAAGGAGTTTTTGCTGAAGAAGCTCAATAATTTGAAACAGAGCGAGAGAACGCAGATCACCTTACTGGTTACCTGGCTAGCTGAGCTCTATTTGAACAGACTCGGCCAGCTGGAGAGCGATGGGAACAGCATCATCTTCCAGGAGACCCGTGAGGAGTTTCGCAACTTCCTCAGCAACTCCAAACACAAAGAGTGTCTGTTCAACAACCGCAGCACCATCTACGATCTGTTGGCCAGTCACGGCAATGTGGACGACATGGTTTTCTTCTCAGTGGTGATGCAGGACTACGAAAGAGTGATATCCCACTACTGCCAACATGACGACTTCAGCGCTGCTCTGGAGGTCCTCTCCAAGCACTGCGATCAAAAGCTCTTTTACAAATTCTCCCCAGTCCTCATGCAGCACATTCCCAAAAAAGTAGTGGATGCGTGGATCCAGATGGGCAAGCGGCTGGACCCGAAGAAGCTCATCCCAGCTCTGATGAACTACAGCCAGATGGGAAGCACCCAGCAGATCAACGAAACCATCCGCTACATGGAGTTTTGTGTGTATGAGCTGACTGTGACAGAGGAGGCCATCCACAACTACCTGCTGTCGCTCTACGCTAAGTATAAGCCAGACTCTCTGCTGTGGTATCTGGAGCAGGCAGGAACACACGCCTCAGAGATCCACTATGATCTGAAGTACGCACTCAGGCTCTGTGCAGAGCATGGCTACCTACGGGCCTGTGTTCTGGTTTATAGGATTATGGAGCTGTACGAGGAGGCAGTGGATCTTGCTTTACAAGTAAGAAAAAATGTCTATCTCTAATATCCCATGATAAAAAAATATTATTTTGACGTAAGAGTTTCACACAAGTGTCTAACCTACTGTATATATATATATATATATTTATGTAGGTCGATGTAGATTTGGCCAAATCTTGTGCAGATCTGCCCGAGGATGACGAGGAGCTGAGGAAAAAGCTTTGGCTGAAGATCGCCCGCCACGTCGTCCAAGAGGAGAAAGATGTGAAGAAAGCCATGAACTGCCTATCCAGCTGTAACCTGCTCAAGATTGAAGACATTCTGCCCTTCTTCCCAGACTTTGTCACTATTGACCATTTTAAGGTGCGTGTCTGAAGCCCTTTTTCGTATGCAAGTCCTTCACAGCTATGCCATCACTATGCCTTTAACCCCGGTATGGTGCAACACTCATGTCCCAGTGTGATTTGACCTTGCGCTTACAGCTTTGCAGAAGCATGAGAGGCACAACCAGGCATGCACTCACATTCACTGCTGTCCCACCCTGCCATCTTGTTTGTTTTTATGCTTTGACTCAATCCCACCATCTATGACTTTTATGTTGCTGACCTTGCTTGATCAGGCAATATAAATGTGTTACCTCGTGCAGTCAGAGTATTAACACACAGAATACAGTACAAACAAAGTAGAGGTGAACATTCACGTGTTTGGTCCATTTTAACTCCTCAGGAGGCCATCTGCAGCTCTCTCGAGGAGTACAATCAGCACATCGAGGAGCTAAAGCAGGAAATGGAGGAGGCCACAGAAAGCGCCAAACGCATCAGAGAGGACATCCAGGAAATGAGGAACAAATACGGTGTGGTGGATTCCCAAGAAAAGTGTGCTTCATGTGACTTCCCATTACTCAACAGGCCTTTCTATCTGTTCTTGTGCGGCCACATGTTCCACTATGACTGCCTCTTTCAGGTAACAGTTCAGGGCTCAATGCAAATAGGTGCCACTACAGGAATGATGTGTAATAAGAGATCCAATGTGTGCCTTGTTTTCTTTTACCTTCCAGGAAGTGACCCCTCACCTGTCGGTGTACAAGCAGACTCGTCTGGAGGAGCTGCAGAAAAAGCTGGCTTCCACGACACAGTCCTCCAAGTCACGCCACCGCACTCTGACGAAGGATGAAGGAGACACGTCCAGCCTGGGAAAGGGCAGTGCGGGCTCCAGCCGCGAGCAGATAAAATCAGACATCGATGACATCATTGCGTCTGAGTGTGTGTACTGCGGCGAACTGATGATCAAATCTATTGACAAGCCTTTCATTGACCCACTGAAGTTCGAGGAGGAGAAATCCAGCTGGCTATGAAGTCCACCTCCTCCTCTCTAAATGTGAAAAGACACGACAGCTCACCGTTTATATGTCAGTGAAACTGCACCATCTGTAGTACTGACCAGTTCAGTGGATATAAACTTCACCTGTATGCCTGTTGGAAGTGCCTACTGCAGAAAATTGTATCTTCAGTTGTTCTCTAAGATTACACTTATTTTTCTGGCAGTATTAGAAGCTGGTTTTACAGAAACTGTTAACAGTGGAAATAGCTGATGATGTTGCGATATAAAGAATTACCAGGGCTGCTCTGCACGTACATTGTACCAGATCTTCTGATTCTGACCACAGACAAGGATTTAAAGGCTGTAATTGCATATAACTGCACTGAATGACTGTAAACTCACTAGGCCATGCACTTATTTTGTCTTAAGCCCCTCTTCGACCATATCTGTGATTCCCTTGCTAAGTTTGACCATTCTGCTTTACAGCTCTGAGCTTATCTTCCAAATAAATGAGGGGTGGATTAAAGAACGGCATTTAATTACTATTCTGTAATTTAACTAAGGCCAATTAAACGTTGTTAATATTAAAGAACTGTTTATTCTGGCTGTATTAAATACTGAACAAATTATTTTGAGGTTGTTTGAAATCAAGAATCTTAATCAAAGAGCCTCTATGGTCAATCTAAAGAGGGAGTAGAGTGAGGATTACAAAAAAACATCAGCACATCATAAAGCTAGGACAAGATAAGGATAAGATCATGATATTACTTATTTATTTTTAAGAAAAAATGCATTATTGTGACAAATGACCATCATATTAAACTCCTACAATAATTTTTATTTAACTGTCATTACAATTATAAACTATAATAACTCCTATTTGAATTCGACTACGTGGTTAATTTTATAAAAATGAATTAATCACATTTTTTAAACAAAAATTTTTGCTGGCATCCAACTGCCTCACCATACCGAAAACGGAGTTCCCTTCTGGTGACGCAAGACGTCGCTCGGCAATCTTCGCAGTGGGCAGACACGATTAATCAACTTCGGGAATTCATCGATAAATATGAAAAAGAAGTGCATGTAAAGTCCAAAACGGCACAAACTGCCAACAGATATTTTATTCTCTAAAGAGAAGATGCCTTTTTTGATTTCATATCGTATTCGTACCTTCGGAGATACTAGCATGCGAACGCCCCTGTGTCGGAGATTGATTAAAATGCCTGCTCCTTGCTGTACCCTCGCCATGGCGTCGTGTCTCTGCTCTCTCAGTAACAGAAAGTGGCCGCCTCTCTGCTGCTGCTGCCGACTCAAAGCTCACAGACTCGCTCGGCGCCCCAAACCGCCATTTTGGAGTCAGAGAACCGAGAGTCGGCAGCGGCGAGGAGAGAGGCGAAAAGGGGGGACACGGGGCCGAGGTGAGAGACTCCGTGGTGGTTGTTATGGCGAAGGAGCAATGGGGGGAAGATGGCCGGGAGGGAGAGAATTAAAACATGGGGATCATTCGTTCACCAGGCAACTCGGTCCCCGCTCGTGCCCGCTGCAAGGGTACGAGAGGCGCGGGCGGAGGGCCTCACCAACCGACGACTAGCCTGTTATACTCTTGTCAGTTTACCAATATCATATCTAAATACATAGTTTAGGTAGGGAGGTGGTGGCCTTAAAGAGACAGGGCCGGTTTGAATACTTCATATTAACGGTGCGAGAGTCCAAACCCCTTCATATATGAACAGCTAACGTCTATGAAGAAATGCTACATTACATAGCTAGGACCCAGTAGCCTAGAAACAAAAGGCTTTCGGTTCCTGAAACTACTAACGGCTGTTTTTAATCCACATTTTAAAAAGTGCGGTTTATTTTTGTGTGTATAAACCAGCCTTGACCCTGTACTATCATTGATCAGAGACAAGGCAAGCGGCTAGCACCAGTTAGCTGCACGAACCCGGGTTAGCGAGCATATTCCGGCTAACGCAGCATGGATCTGCGAGCAAGCTACCAGACAAGGGAGCTAAGGAAGCTATTAGTTGTGGGGGAATAAACACCCGTTTTCTTAAAACCTCTTTTCTTTTCTTTTCTCTTGGGGAGAGGAAGAATAAATGCTAGCCCAACACACTCGTGGCAGTGAAGTTGCATCTGGGAGCAAAGTCAATACTGCATGTAGATAGTGGTGCTGCATGAAGTTTACAACACACTGTCAATAGAAGCACTGAAGGATGAACAACTTCAAAATCATATTTACACTTTTATAAATCATTTTTATTTTACAGATTATCTCTAACATGTAATTAATAACCAAAAGACTTAAAGCGTAAGGATCTGGGCTTATTTAATGCTTTAAAATGTGCTAATGAATAACTTATTCATGGTTGTGATCAGATTTTTGATTTACGCATCTTTAGTTTTACTTTTTTATGTGTGCTGCTCTTTGTTACTACTATGCCTGTTTTGGCCAGAACAGCATTAAAAAGAGATTTTTCTTATCCTGGTTTAACTGTTAAAATTATGGCGTAAGGTGGAAACATAAAAGAAACTTGCAATCCACTTAAATTCCCTTTGAATTATAAACACTAGTTATATAGAAGTTGTGCAAAATTGTGTTGAAAGCACTGCCATTTCCTTTCATTTTGATATATTTCTGACCAAGATATTTAGAAACTAATTGCATTTGTGCATAATCCCTTTCTTAGTATTGCTCCATAGTATTAACACTCTCTAATAAACACAACATGTCATATTGTACTGGCTCTATAAACAATATTAAATAGCAACTTTTGACAGCTGATTTTCTGTTGTAGGGTAGTCAACCTTTGCCTGATTGTTTATCTTGAAATGAAGAATTATGACATCCCCTACTGAGAAGGTAGGTCTATGGTTATCTTTTATTCTGCTTCTGCCAATTTGCAAATATCAGAACAGCCTGAATTTATATAGCTGTTCTGTCTTTATTATAAAATCTAAGATGTAGGCAGTGATTGAAAGGTGTAGAACCACGCTAGAAAAAAAAAAAGTAACTCCCACATCTTTCAGACAAATCCTCTAAGTGGTATCAGCCTTCATACCTGCAGTGTTTGCTACAATTTAGAAGAAGTGCTAAATCACAGCAGAGCCGTACAGATACCCACAGTAAGCAGTGTCCTGTGCTGCTCGTTCTGACCTTGAGGCATCTGCCGGCCTCTTTTTCTCCTCTCCACTTATTTCTCTCCAGTGAAAGTTACTGCCCCGCTGGGCAGAGCTGTCTTTGCTGTATGGCGTCGGGGCAGGGTGGCCGGCTGGAGGTTGTATCATTAGGGAGCTCCAGCCTGGCCAAACCTCTCTACCTGCAGCGCTTGGAAAGATCTCTGAAGTTGGACAGTTTCCTGCGCCAGACCGCCACCGTCTTCAACAGAGACGTTACAAGGTAGAGGCAGGGTGGATTAGCAAAGAGCGTTATTGTCTCACCTTTAGGCTTATTGTTTGTTCCGTTTGAAACTATCAGCAGTTGATGTTACAGTTTAAAGTCTGCTCTTTTTCGGCTGTAAATGTAGTTGTTGTGTTACGCAGTGGGTTGGCTCACATCTCCATGTTCCTCATGTTCCAGCGACGACAGTGATGATAGTGATGAAAGCGATGGTGCACTGGGGTCAGGGCTTTCCCTGGACCCCTCCACTCAGCACGCAGCGCTGACAGTGAAGACTGAACCATGTGAACAAGGGGATGGGTTGGGCGAAGGGAAGCCCCTCAACGGAGTTCTGCTGCAAGGTAAAGGTGAGACACACACAGACACACTGAGGTGTTATTCACTTATGACTACACATGCTCACCTTGTCTTATGCCCTTTCATGCGCATTTATCTCGTGATATTTTCTCTTTTTTAACAGACCAGAAGGCGGATAAAGCTAGTATGTACAATTTCTCTAAGCTGAAGAAGAACAGAAAATGGCTGAAGGTACTTGGATATTCTTCTTCCAACTACATATCAGAGTATTAAGATGGTTTGCTTACATAGATACAACAAAACCCAAGTTGAGAGTATTTCACTGCTTTTTTACACCACCACTTTTTTTATGGCATTTAAATTGTGTATATTGTAGAAAGCTTTATTTTTTCTTCTCCCTTTTCTAATTTTTTTCTTAATTATTACATTTATTTAAGTTCTTAATATTAGGACCCTTATTGTTATAACTGCATTTTTGCACTTTTTGTCTTGTCTGTGATGCTGCTGTGACAAAAAAATTTCCCCCATGGGGGATCAATAAAGGAATATTCTATTCTATTCTATTCTCTTTGCTGTGTCTACTCCATTCTCCAGCACCATCTACAGATTTACACAAACATCATCTTCCTGTAAACTCCTTCCTCTGTCTCCTGCAGAGTATCCTGCTGAGCGACGACACCACAGACTCGGACACAGACTCGGACGACTCGGACTTCTGTCTGTCTCGGGAGGAGCTGCATGACATGCTGAGGCTACACCGCTTCACCAGGCAGCATCAGAGCAAGTTCCACTCTGACCGAGAGGTACGAACTCATGGACTCATCAGGCTCAGGGATAATTCAAACCCACCTCATGTTTGTTAAAGTCATGCCAACTAAATGATTTGTGTACTTTTGTTTACTTTGCAGCTCCACCAATATCAGTATTACAGCACTGGTCTCCTCTCCACTCATGACCCCTTCTATGAACAACAGCGCCACCTACTGGGCCCCAAGAAGAAGAAAATCAAAGATGAGAAGAAATTTAAGGGTACAGACATCTGAAAAAAACACATGAAAAATGTGATAATTCTGAATGAGTATTGCAGAAATTAAAATATCTTTATGATTCTTTACTTTCAGCAAAACTGAAAAAAGTGAAGAAGAAGAAGAAACGTGGAGAGGGGGAGTTTCTGGATGAGGGGCGTCCTTATGTCACCAAGATCTTTGCTAAATTCTCCCATGATGCTCCGTTGCCCATGGTGAAGAAGAAACATCTGACTGTTGAGCAGCTGAACGCTCGTCGGCGCAAGGTCTGGCTAACCATCGCTAAAAAGGAGATCCCTAAGGTTGGTTTTTACCGCACTGACAGCCTGTAGAAATGTATTTTCTTCATGGTGAAGTATTTAAGTTTTTGGGTTATTTCTCATCAGTATCTTATCTGTACCTTCATTTCAGACTTACAAGCAGAAGACCTCTGCAAAGAACTTAGTCTTAACCAACGCTAAAAAGGTAATTGTGCTCCAATATGGTGTTTAAAATGACGTGTTATGAATAATAAAGATCATTTTGGTTAAATATCTGGTAGGTTTAACCGTAGATTAGGTTAAGTATTAAAAGTGTATTTGTTTTCCTTTAATCCAGTTGGCTCACCAGTGCATGAGAGAGGTCCGGCGGGCAGCCATCCAGGCTCAGAAGAACTGTAAGGAGACGTTACCCCGAGCTCGCCGCCTCACCAAGGAGATGATGCTTTACTGGAAGAAGTACGACAAAGTGGAGAAGGAGCACAGGAAGAGGGCGGAGAAGGAGGCGCTGGAGCAGCGTAAGCTGGATGAAGAGATGAGAGAGGTAAGAGGAGCGAAAACTTTCCCTTGAAAAAATGTTAAAGGTCAAGACTGAATAACCTTGAACTGTTGAAATGAACTGATTTTTTTCCCTCTCAGGCTAAACGTCAGCAGCGCAAACTGAATTTCCTCATCACCCAGACTGAGCTGTACGCTCACTTTATGAGCGGGAAAGCCAGCATGGGGGGTCCGGAGGGAGATAAGGCTCAGGAGGAAATTCTGAGTAAGCTGGAAGACACTGCGGCACAGAGACAGATAGACATTGGAGGAGGTGTGATGGTCAACATGGGACAAGAGGACTATGGTACGCTTATTCTTTCACTGATACTGAGTTCATTTTGTTTTCTTAGCTGAAACTTTTATATTCAGCCAAATGGACCTATTTTGATTGTATTTTGATTGCTAAACCTTAACTTCCTTATATGACTATTAAGTGTCCACCATTTCGTGTCCGTGTGGTTTCAGATAGTGAACACTACAAATCCCAGGCCTTGAGGAATGCTAAAGAAGCCTACCAGATTCACCAAGAGAGAGTAGGTTTAAGTGATCACACTCTCAACTCACAGATGCACAAATAACCTCCCCCTGTCTCTACTTTGCTAACGTCTCTTATCTCTCTGTGTAGACACGCATGTTTGACGAGGAGGCTAAAGACAGCCGCAGCGCCTCGCTGCACACGGCTTGCGGCTCCTCTTCCGGCTCCGGGTTCGGAGAGAGCTACAGTCTGTCCAACCCGTCCATCCTCGCCGGTGAAGAAATCCCTCAGCCCACCATCTTCAACGGCAAACTGAAGGGTTACCAGCTCAAGGGGATGAACTGGCTGGCCAATCTCTATGAGCAGGTATCGTGACCCTTTATAAAAGGATGACTTTTCATTTTGTGGTGGAAGTTCATTTTTCAAATTATGTGCTTGTTCCAGACACATTGATTTATGTCCTTTTTATAATGCTTCTTTGTTTTCTTCCCTCTTTGCAGGGAATCAATGGAATCCTGGCAGACGAGATGGGGCTGGGAAAGACGGTGCAGAGTATTGCCCTGCTGGCACACCTGGCGGAGGTGAGAGAGTGCACGAGAATACTTAATGTTATGAAAACTTATAATCACTTCTAAAGCCATATAGATGCATTTACAAGGGTTTATAAATGTGCTTATAATAGATCCATATAATGAACTTTTGACGAACAAATGAAAATCTAGAACAGCCAGCTCCTTTGTGCACCTGCATCCTGAAAGTGTTTCAATATGTGATTCATATGATGAATTTCATTGTTGTGAGAGGCTGACTCAGGGGCTCTTTAGCTCTGTTGTAACAGCTGAGGATTATAAAAAGCTGAAATAAGAGGAAATCTGTGCTTTTCGGTGCTGAAGTACAGCTGACAGGAATATTCATGCTCTCTTCCTTCACAGCTTCCTCTCATTGGGCGCTCAATCACACACACACAAACACAGACACCTTTTTCAGCAGCTGAAAATCTCTTTCTTTTTCTGCTCCCGCTCAGAGAGACAACATCTGGGGCCCTTTTCTGATCATCTCTCCGGCGTCGACTCTGAACAACTGGCACCAGGAGTTCACCCGCTTCGTGCCCAAATTCAAGGTGAGGATCCAGGCCGAAACACCCGCAGAAACACACTCACTGCCTGTGTTTCCATTTTAGGAAATCCTGCCCCAAAACCGAGAATCCTCTAGAACACAGGTGTCAAACTCAAACTATCTGCCTCACAAGATCATATCATATTTGTATTATTATTGGCCCACCAGTATGAGGTCTGCAGACTTCCTCCAGTATAATAATGTAAACTTTAGCACCATTATTAAAAATGTCCTTAATAAACCACAAAAATCTGAGAAATTAAAGAGTAAGAAAGATTTGATAAATCGTCAAGAATGTGGGGGGAAAAAAAAATTTTGGTGTTTTATTTCATGTTTTCAGTTTTGCATTTCAAGGTTACAAGCCAAACATGATTGGATTTTTTATTTCATGCTTTGATTTTGTTCAACTCAGTATTTTAACTTGTGTCACTTTCATACTTCCGATTCCAGTTTTAAATTTTAAGTCATATTTTAACTTTTTATACCAGATTTCAATGTTCTCCTCATGTATTTGCTCTTTAAAAGCATTACTTTTCTATTTTTAAAATCATGCTCTGATCTTTTGAACTATTAAATAAAAATAGAATAAAAAGTTGAAAGTAAAATAATTTTTTCTATCTCAGATTGCCTTTAAACTTATCTTTTTTTTTTTTTATCTTTTTTGAATTTCCAAATGATTTATAATCATTGCTGTTTTTGTTTTGCATATTTTTTTAAAAGGAGGTTGATAGTTTTGGTGAAATGTTGACCCTGTTTGGCCCTCAGGTTCGACCTCAATCCAGATTATGGCCCTTGCTGTGGTTGAATTTGACATCCCTGCTCTAGAATTAATAGGATGTAAGCATATTTATAGGCTCTCACTAGGGGGCAGTGTTGCACCAGCTTTGCCTGTGTGACTTCAAAGCTGTTGATACTTTCACTGTTGGGGCTTCACTCCCCAAAAAAGTCTCGTTCCTCTTTGTTGAACAGCTATTCATCAAAAACATCAGTATGTCCACTACGGTTAGGCGCACTGTCCCACACTCACTTGCACACAGGCTATATATATATGATAAACTCACTCTCATAACTCTCTGTCGTGCTCAACACCAAAACTATGCCCCCTTTTCTCCACAAGTTTGAAAATAAATCAAATCCAGTCTGTGTTGCTAATGAGCTGTGAAAAGAACCTATTACACAATTTGAAGATAAGCTTCCTGAACACTCAAAGCAAGACTGACGGAAAACAATGGAGCACCAGCGCGCGATGACTGATGTAATGATGTGCAAATCTTTTCACATTACATTGTACATCAACAACTCAGCGACAGAGTCAGTGATTCATACATGATGCTATGCCTGAATGCGTCCTCTGGGAACATCTCCGAGGTCTGTTTCTGTTTCACAGCTCTGTGTTGAGCGTTGTTGGAGGGGCTGAAAGTATGTCAGATGGATTCCCACCCGAACCATCTCTTTGATGTTCTGGATCTTGACTTTTTCCTTTTTTTTTCAGGTTTTGCCATACTGGGGGAATCCGCATGATCGCAAAGTGATCAGGAAGTTTTGGAGCCAGGTAAGATACAGATGCTAGACAAGGATAGAGAGTCGTGGCAATGGCTGTGACATTCCTAACCTCGTCTTTTTTGTCCGTGCTAAAACAGAAAACCCTCTACACACAAAACGCACCTTTCCACGTGGTGATCACGAGCTACCAGCTGGTCGTTCAGGATGTCAAGTACTTTCAGAGGGTCAAGTGGCAGTACATGGTCCTGGACGAGGCTCAGGCGTTGAAGAGCAGTAGCAGGTAAAACATTAACGTCCCTGTTGCGCAATCAGATAGTGGACTCAAACATGTTCGCCACACACTGTATGTAAATATTGTCTGTGCCCACTCACTATGGTGGAGTCTTCAAACACAATTTTTAAACTTTGCATCACTCACGGTTTAATTTTCATGACCCAGATTTTGCCTCTTTAGTCTTGCAACGTCTTCCTTCCTTGGCTCGACTTCAAAAATATAATGATATATAACAAACAAAAGAGTGAGGTCCAAGTTTCTGCAGGAACATTTCTCTTGTGCACACAGTTGCACAACCCAGTTAGCTCTCTTTTAACATTCAGCATTGCAAAAGACAGAATTAAGCTGTCATGTCAACAAAAAATGCCCAAAAGAAACATTGAGTTTCTTGCACAAATAACCACATAGTTCAGAGTTTCATTAGACACATTCCAAAAGCTACAAAATTGGACACTAATTGTTTATAAAAAGTTCAAGCTATGACTAAAAAAAGCACTGGTATTGAATTCATCTCTATATTCATATTCTGTGTCAAGTAAAATGTAGTATTAGTTTATGCTGGACCGGATCTTAGAGTGGGAAATCAATAATCAGGTTCTGCTTAGTGCTGACACTCCTTTCACCAGCAATAATCTGATAGAAAACACAAGAAACTCATGTCCCTTTGCAGATTCATTAGACATGCGCCCTACGAGTAACTAATTTACAGCGAAACCAAGACTTTCCAAACCAGGGGAACAGGCGTTTCTTTCTTTGAAAGACATAACCAATTAGGCCTGGGCAATTTGGCAAAAAAAATGATCACAGTATATTTTTTCATATTGTTCAATCTCGATTATTATCACAAATTTTTTTTTAAACTGCCAGTTTTAAAGCATCTGTACTAAAAACTAAAGAAACTAGAGATTAGTTCAACATTTTATTAACATAGGAAGTAAATAACAAAGCGAATTGAATAAGATAAACTTGGAAAAATATTGAAACCATTTTTACTCAACAGTACAACAAATGTAGATAAATATTTATTACTACAGCTTATTATACAGCTTCTGCTTGATGTCACTTTGGAGATACCAGAACCACCGCAATACAACCGACATTGAACAATAACAATTTCTCAACAATAACATCTTCGGAGGATGACTCAAAGTCATGGCTGACATCTACTTTGCTGTCCTCATGTTCGGCCATTCTGTTTCCTTCTCCTGTTTACTTCTCCGTCGACTTACAGAAGTGAGCGGGAAAAGCTTGACTCTGATTGGCTGTTGTCACGCACATTTCCGCTATATATGATCGAGTAAATATGCTTACAGCTGATCACCGTGATTGAACTGAAATTTATCACGATCATACAATCGCCCAGTCCTATAACCAACCCAGAAATAATGTTTGTTACCCAAACTTACCTAAAGGGTTGAATTTTGTTTTGCTTATGATCACTTCACAAGTTGGTAAATGGGCTGCAAACCATGCAGTCCACAGAAAAACAACCCTGAGTTTCCAACCTCTCTGCATCATTCTTGTTCTCTACACCAGAAACACAGAGAGGCTGGACATCACGCTCAGAGGCATATATCTTCTGGAAATAACTCTTGGGTTATGAGATTAAGATCCAAACAATTTCACAGTCTGTCTTGAGTAGCAGTTTGGTACCGCTGCTGTAACTGCATGTCTGTGTTTTTAGTGTCCGGTGGAAAATCCTGCTGCAGTTCCAGTGTCGAAACAGACTACTGCTCACTGGGACGCCAATCCAGAACACCATGGCTGAGGTGAGCGACGTGTGCATGTTTGCATTCGTGTGCGTATTTACATGCGAATAGTTGGTGACCGTGTGTTGTTGCCGTCCCTCAGCTGTGGGCCCTGCTGCACTTCATCATGCCCACGCTGTTTGATTCCCATGAAGAGTTTAACGAGTGGTTCTCCAAGGACATCGAGAGCCACGCCGAAAACAAGTCTGCCATCGACGAGAGTGAGTTCAACCCTCTTAGATGCTTGTTCAGGCAGTAACACAGAATATTTGTATAGATTATTTGTGCGGAAATTCTACCTTTTTCGTGCCAGCATTGAAATTTTATCGCTGCTTTCTGATGCGTGTAATGCGCTCTGTAGCATAATAATCGTTTGATGTTTGTGTTTCAGACCAGCTCTCCAGATTGCACATGATCCTGAAACCTTTCATGCTGCGCAGAATAAAGAAGGATGTGGAAAATGAGCTGTCAGACAAGGTAAGGGAGTCAAATTTCTTCCCCGTGTTTGCTGATTTAGGCTTGTCTTCCTGCGCTGTGCATTTAATCGCTCTGAAAATCTGAACTGAAGCGGTATGAATCCTCGCCTTCATGGGAAAAAACGGCCTTTGCAGTGTTGAGTTTCTGGTTAATAATTGCACAAAGTTGCAAAATCTCTCCGGTGAAGTTTGTTTAACAATAAAAGGGACTCTCTTTTTGTCCGCTACCATGCAGCCCTTATGCTTCTCTCTCCTGTTAAAACCTGCACCCTTCCTCTGCTCGCTCGCCCTGCACACCTCATTAACACAGAGAGCGTTGTAATAAGCTCGTGAGTGATGCTTGTGCTGGCAGATCCTCTTGACAGATGCTGGACCCGGTGGTCTCTCGCTGTCGCACATTCTCACTCGCACACTGTGGGAGCCTCCACGCAGGGAGACAGAGTTCACGGCTCCCACACATCTGTCTTCTTCAACCCCCCCTTACACCCACACACTGCCCTGCCAACCCACTTCCTCTCCTCCTCCTCCTCCTCCTCCTCCTCCTCTGCTCGTGTTGGTTTCTCTTGTTTTGTCTGCACACTGAAGCCAACAGTAACCAGGGGAGTTCACCGGCGGTTTGGTTCTTGTGGTTCGTTGTTTTCATCAGGCAACAAGAGAGAGGAAAACAAAGATTAAGATATGCGTTTGCAGAATATGGGTCATAAATTCTGCACTCATGATTTTATTTTCTGTTGAGTCCATGTGAAAACTCTTTGGTTTTATTTGCTGGAGGTACAACACGCCAGTAATGCTGAATCATCTGTCTTTACTGTCACCTCATTTATTATGACTGCAGCCAAGTGTAACTCTGTGAACTACGCTTCGTCACTAACTGGGTCCAACTTTCTTTTTCAAAAATTCTCTTTCCTTGTTCACACACGCTCTTCTTTAAAACTGTGCCAGGTGTTATATCCTGATGGTAGAGCAGTAACCCATTACCTGGATTTACAGCTCCCATTGTTGGTGTTTGGCTCAACAATTCAACCGTTTCACTCGCATTTGCGACTAAAAATACATGTGTGCGAATTGTAAAATGTATTTAGGGGCACATGATGTTTTTTTATGTAAATAGCGTTTTGAAGTTAGAAGTTAGGTTGGATATTCGAAGGACATTCACTGCGGATCTACCACTGTCTTCTCACTCTCCATAACCAGAAATAGCAACAGCAGTGCGGTTAAATCTACTTGGCATCAATGCGGGTGTTGAAAAAGGGACCATCAATAAATGACTTTGTTTGATGTTCTCAAAAAAGGCTGTTTTCCTTCAATAGCTTCCATGTCATGTGACCAAACAACCCAAAATTGATTTGAAATAATAGTACTACAGTCGGACAATAAGACACACATGATTTGATCTATTTTCATTGTGTCCCTAAAGTTCTTTGTGTGCTCCTTACTTTTTCAACTTTAGAGTTCATGTGCTCCCTGTGAAAAAAGTTAGTGTTTTTGTAGGGCTGCTCGGTCATGTCAAAAATCATAATCAGGATTATTTTGATTTATACCGACACCATATTTATTTAGGACGATGACTCAAGATATGGCAGCAGCATCTGCTTTTGTGCAACCACACTTTAAATTGATCTATAAACCAACATTTTAACAATAACAGAAGCAAATGTATTCTAGTGTTTGTGAAATTTCAGCAGGGGCATAGCCAGGCTATGCTGACCGGGGAGGCTCAAGAGTTATGTATGCTCACACATGAAGGAATAACATTTATTCACCCTTCCTGTCCAATCAAATCTCCTCTAACTACTAACATTTAGGTACGATACGATACAATACAGTACGATATAATGCGATACAATATGATACGATACAGTACGATACGATATGATACAATATGATGCAATACAATACGATATTATACGATACAATACGATACGATACAATACAATATGATATAATACGATACAATATTATACGATACGATACAATACAATACGATATAATACGATACAATATTATACGATACAATACGATACGATACAATACAATACGATATAATACGATACAATATTATACGATACAATACGATACGATACAATACAATACGATATAATACAATACAATACGATACGATACAATACAATACGATATTATACGATACAATACGATACGATACAATACAATACGATATAATACGATACAATATGATACGATACGATACAATACAATACGATACAATGCGAAACAATATGATATGATACAGTACAATATGATAAAATACGATACGATACAATAAGATATAATAAAATACAGTACGATTCGATATGATATGATACAATACGACACGATACAATACAATATGATACGATACGATATAATACAATATGATACGATACAATACGATACAATACAATACGATACAATACAATACAATATGACATGATGCAATACAGGTATCCTGAACTTTTTAAAATCCAGAATGACAAAAACATAATTCGGCTTTCATAAACTGTTATTTATTGTGTCCTGAATGCGACCTCGTTAAGACTTTTTCCTCTTCCCCCCTCAGATCGAAATCCTGACCTACTGCCAGCTGACGTCCCGGCAGAGGTTGCTGTACCAAGCCCTGAGGAACAAGATCTCCATCGAGGATCTGCTTCAGTCCTCCATGGGCACGGCTCAGCAGGCCCACAGCACCACCTCCTCCCTCATGAACCTGGTCATGCAGTTCAGGAAGGTACACAAAGTCAGACGCAGCTCTCAGGATGATTAATGACAGTTATTTCTGTTAATGATTTGAGGCTCATTGTAAGGATCATATTTTCAAAACTCTGAATATTTCCTCTTTTCGGGGGTTTTCAAGGGAATTTTAATAACAGAACAACACTTGACTGGTGGGAGTTAGAGTCGGGATCTCAAATCAATCAATCCAACAATGAATTGGCAGACTTACAGGAAGCATAAGTGGTGTTTTTTTTCTTTTTCCTCCTCTTTCTGAACACACTGTCTGTGTTATGTTTTTGTGTGTAGGTGTGTAACCACCCCGACTTGTTCGAGCGCCAGGAAACTCGCTCTCCTTTCCACATGCACCTCAAACCCTACATCATGTCGAAGTTCCTCTACCGACATGGTCTCATCCATGCGCACAACCAGGCCAAAACCAAGTGAGCCTTTCCACACTCCAGACGCACCGTACCTGAAATCCAATGAAAACAACTCTCTCAAAATCTTTACTGTAATTGTTCTGAACCGGGTTAGGATTACATTTGAGATCACTCTGTAAAACACTGCTAGATTAGCTCTGGTGGATATTTGCTGATTTTGGAGCTACGCTGAGCGATTATATCAATTATAGCAGTTAGCGGCAAAAATGCGGGTCTGACTAGCGTCGGACGAAAATCCCAGATTCTTCCTCATCTTTCAAAGTCAGTCATGTATCCCTGTCGGTCTCTGCCTCCTCCTCAGGTTACTTCAAGTGCTGTTGTCTCCCTTCTCTCCAAATCACATCCAGCAGTCTCTTTTTCACAGAAAAGGTGAGAACGTACAAAGATTTAACAGACAAGGAGTGACATACAACCCTGTATTTAATCCTGCTTTGACTTATATTTTTTCCCTTCAGGTGATGACAAAGGAAGCTGCTTCTCCTTCCTGCGCTTCATCGACGTGTCACCAGCTGAGATGAACCATCTCATGGTTCAAGGCACTTTAGCAAGGTTGGACTGAAAGTTTTTGGATCTGTTATTTTCAGCTAAATCAGATAAACGAGTAGGATAGAAAGTAAATCAAGGACACTGAGGCAGAAAGTCCAGATGTCCAAATGTTTCTCTGCCAGATACCAAATGCGCATTAGCTTTGGAGGTGCTATTCTGTTGACAACTTTGCACTTGGAAAGTCTGATCACTTTCGGTAACTTTTTACAGCAGTAGGGAATTATTTTACTAAAAAACTAATACTGTAATTTTATCCCTCCTCTCCTGCCTCTTCCTTCTTTTTCTCGCACAGATGGTTAGCCCTTTTTCTCTCCCTCAAAGCTGCGTATCGGCTCCACTATCAACGCCTTTTCAGCCTCCAAGAGGAGGATCAGGAGCAAAACAGAGACCCGGAGAGGGACGGGGGAAGGTCACAGCCCAGGAATAAGAAGTGTCTGTCTCGCAGGGACCTGATTCTGTGGCCAAATAGACCCACCAGTTACCCAAACACGCACACAAGCTCAGTCCTGCAGGTGAGAAACACAGAAAACAATCACAAAAACACAGTGGGTAGAAATCAACATATTCAGATTCTTTGGAATGACATCTGCGACAGACCCCCAATCATAAGCCATGATGCTGAAAATTTCCCCTGAGCATCAGTCTCTGCCCCGCGTTTCCTCTCCCTCTTTTGGGATCCATGTTGGAACCCAATCCTGCTGAAGGCCAAGGACCCTCTAATACTGTACCCTCAGCCCTCTGTGTGTCTGCTGCGTCGCAAAAGCACTTAAAATTTTATTGCACTCGCTCTAATATGCCACAATTTTTAATCATTTGAAGTCAGTCCTCTGGAGCAGGGAGTCCTGTTTATGCAAATTCATAATATGAAACTTTTTTTTTACCCCACTCTCCCCTATATCCCCTAAATATTTATGACATCTTGAATCAGAATCAGCTCTGATTGCGTTTGGAGAATCTGAGTCTGGTTTGCACCTCTCTCAAGGCAAATAAGAAAGAGTGATGTAGTGAGGAGTGCAAAAAAATGATCAAACAAATAAAACACAGGAGGTAGGTGGTTTGAAAACACTGTCTATTCAGATATAAGTGCTGTGTTTATTATACGTACCTGTGCATAGGCTCTAGTTTGAAGCAGCCTCTTTGTGAACAGGGAGCATCTAAACACTAGGAACAAAATAATGACTGCACAATGGGTTACTGCACATGAATCAGGACACGGTGTGATATGAAACCAGTTTGGCCGTGTGCTGTTCTTTCAGCACCTCATCCGCTAAGGTGCCTCAGAGGAAACATTGTTTTGAGAACAATGACAGAGGGGGACACTGCAAGATCTGCACAGATGTTGTTCCTTTGCTAACGCAGGACAAATATGGCACACTTCAGTTATTTTTAGGTGCATTCATATGTTTTTTATATGTCTTTGATTTTAAAGACATGAAGGTGAACAGATTTCTGCGTTTATTTTGCATCATTTGGTGAGATTGAGGTTTATTGTTTGTTGGAGAGAGTTCGTGTTCTCAGTATGGGAGGAGCTACAGCCTGCAGATACACAGTGAGGTCACAGGAGGGTTTGAGTCATTCTGCAGAGGTAAAAAAAACAAATACAAATAAAAGTCTTCAAAACCATTTCCTCAGCAAACAGCTACCAACTCGCAGATAAGTATCAAATCACCACCGTCTCCCAAATTCAACTCGTCTGGTAGAAAAATCCTCCAGAGAAAAACGCTCTCAGGGTAATTCCATCCTCCTCTTCCTCTCCTGGCCTCACCGCTGAGTCAGGCAGCTGCCGCGCGTCTTAGGTTCCCCCCTGGAGCGGCTTCAGGAACGAAAGAGGCGAAAAATCCAAGAAGGGAGTTCAAATACGAGAAACTTTCAGACACCCAGGGATCTAATACGGCATGTATATACTGTACCGCCGCGCTGACCCCGGACTCCCACTGCAGCTTCTCGAAATCGCTCACCCCCACAGTTTAGGGCAACTTCTTTCAACCGCTCGTTTTTTTTTCTTTTGAAGCTGTGTGAAGCTGGCAAACAGCGCCGCTTCTCTCTGCTTGGCTCATCTCTCTCTCTCTCTCTTTCTCGCTCTCTCTCGCTCTCTGGCTGTGTACTTAACAGTATGCTCAGAGCCGCTTTCAGCTATCCTGCTGCTCCTGTTGAGAAATGGAGAGAATAAGGCAACTCTGAAGATCTGTGTGTGCTTTTTTTTTTTTTACTCTTATAGCTTTAGGGTACGATTTCAAAAGGGCCGTCTGTCCCTCTGCATCCTCCTCTTCATCTGTCCATCCCTACATGAGACAACCTTTCCATGGTTCTTTATATTATACCGTTCCTGTTGTGAACCGCTTATTATTCAGAGCATAATGAGAGTTACTTCTGTTTTAGAAAACAATTTTTTATACCTGTTTTTTTTTAAAAAAAGGACTGATCCTGGTTAGAAAGGATGCCACCTTTTATAAAATCTACCATTAGATGGCACTGTGTATCTGTCATACTGAGCTGTCACACACCATATATACATTACATATCCCTACAATTTTAAAGACATAACTTTAAACATTTCCTCCTCTATTATACTTAAATAAGTTATTATTTACTCTCCAGGATTAGCCTTTGTACATTAAATGTATATATGTCCAAAAAAGGGAAGGTTCCCTGACCAGATGGTATGCAAAGTATGCGCTGAAAATCGTACATTTTACGTACGATTTAAGCATTTGGGTGGAATTTTATGTAACATGTCGGGAATGTGGCCGGTGAGACTTAAATACACTGTCAGAGCAGATTATAAAAAACATGAGCCATGCACTCGGTCACCTCCGCAGGCTTCGCTGTGAACGCTGTTGCGCCGCATCTATTACATTCGCTGCTTTTATTTTTCATATTAATAACTATAATTTTCACTTTGTCACTTTCAAAGCGGCGTTCACAGTCGCTTCAGGAGGAGGAGGAGGACAGACGGCAATAGGATGCCTTTGGAATAACTAGCAATTTCGCTGGTTTCACCACTCAGATATAATCGTACTGTTGGGGAAGTTTGGCGCTAATGACACAGGACAGTAATGTTGGTGTGTGTGTCTTTGTGCGTGTCTGTGTGTTTGTTTCAGGAGCTGATATTCACAGCCTTCAGGCCCGGCATCATCAGACTCACAGACATGACCATCCACAGCCGAGGCTCTTCCGCCTCCACGCTGCGGCCCTGTCAGCCCACACTGCCACCCAAGTTCCTGCTGACTGCCACACCCAGGGTATGTGTGTCTGTCTGTCTCTGTAGTGTGTGTGTATGTGTGTGCAAGGGGACTCTTTTGTGTGTTTGTGTGCAAGATATCTAAGCATTTGGGTGGTCGTGGAAAAGGAAGAGGCAACCACTGTGCACATTGCCTTTATGGGCCTTCAACAGTGAGAAACTCCTATCTGCAAAGTGTGTGTATTTGTGTGTGTGTGTGTGTGAGGTTGTGTGTGGTTGGGGTGTGGGGTGACCGCTGTGGTTTCCAGCTGCATTTAAAACAAACAGAAGCTCTAAAAAAAGGGTTTCTTACTCAGGGCCACCAGTTCTTAAGCTTCCTCTTGCCCTCCTATACAAACACACACACAGACACACACATATATAGAACCTGCTGATTCAGGGAAACAGCCTGTGCAGTATCTATTATACAGATGTCTATAGAGTGTATTTTTCAAGCTCTGTCCTGAATTTAAAACCGGCGATAAGCCACGATAGCTGACCAGAAAGTCGAAAACAAACGTGTCAAAGTGAGACCTCACTTCCCTCTGCGGCACAATATTATCTTTTATTTCCAATTTAGAAACCCTTCTCTCCCTCTTTTTTTGGTTTCCTAGGTGACAGCAGTTCCCATGGAGCGTTATTGTGACGACCGCAGCGCCGAGTACGAGTGGCGGGTGACGCGCGCGGGAGGGGGCACCATCTTCAAACAGTGTTTCCTTTACGGCACCCCCGAGCTCGCCTCAGACTGGCAGAGCAGGGCCAACTCATTTCACCCACAATGCCCTGGGGGGGTGATGGCCATCAACCCACGGCACGGATGGTCCTACATTCGGATACCAGGTAGGAATTTAACGTCTAATCTAATCTCGTTTTGAGAGCTCATGAAACACAGATAATTCCCCCCTTGTGTTTCAAAAGCTCAAATCAGTTTGCATTGGAAAAGAATGAACAGCCCTGCGAGTATAACACACTGCAGGGCTGGAAAATTCAGTATTTTCAGCTGACAGTTTTATCAAACAGTAGATATCCACTTTTTTGACAGAAGCGTGATACACGGCCTCGTGGGAGAATCCACAAAGGTCAGCAGGGCAGATCTGGGCACATCACCCTCCTCTGTCACTGCCTGTCCGTCTGCCAAGCAGCCGATCCGTCACAATCCGACGCTGTGATAAAATGCTCTTGCAAAAATCCCCCCCCCACTACACACACACACATAAACACACTCGAGTGTTTTCCACTGAGGTGTGAATTCAGGGTTGTGGGCGTACGTGTGCGCTTTATCCGTTTAAGGTGAGGGTCAGCTGGAGCGGAGTGGGAGCTGATTCGCTGCCAGGGGTTCGATGGCTGATGGATGTCCAGGGTGAGGGAGGCCATACAGACAACACTTCCCTTCATACTGACCCGCACAGACCCTCCACTTCTGATAAATACTCCGCTGCGGATAATGATGACGGCTCAGTTTTTTTGTTTTTGTGTTATAACCCAGAAAAACTGTCGCGTTTGTTCTTCTCTGCTTGTTTTTGCAGTTACCTGAAATCTCGATGCGTGTATTCTCACCTCTTAAATCTCTACACTCTCTCACATTTTGCACCATCCAAAATGTTTGATTTCTCTCGTCAGCGTATACAAGCGCTTGTGAGAGAGTGTTTGTGTGTAAAAAGTGAGAACCAAACAAGTATTTGTGTGTCAGTGTGAGAACAGTCTGAAAGCTCTTGTGAAGTTATACGGAGGCAGACAAAGCGAGGAAGTTTAGCTGCTGGTCATTGTTCAAGTGCTCAGTTAGGTAACACTAATAGATGGTCCGTCTGTGTGGGTGTGTGTGTGTGTGTGTGAGTAGGAGTGTGTGAGAATATACCATCGGGTCCATTCAGCGCTCACACGGGGGGCCTGAGGTGTCTCTCACCTCTGCACACGCACTCTCCCACGCTCGCCGGCGTTGCTCTTTTCTTCACAAACACAACCCCGAGGAGAGGCTTTACCTCCTGCGAGCAGATAGGGGGGGGTCGCGCGCTGATCTGGAATCAGCATCCAGGCCGTGGCCTCTCAGTCCTGGTCTGGTCTCCCACCTCTTTCTCAGCCTCGGTAGGAAGGAAGTGACCCAACAGTCCGGCACCCGTTCCTCCGCTGAACACATTGTTGCCACATCAAGGCCCAGATATGTACAGTAGCCCGGCTGAAGTTTCCCAGCCTCCCTCTCCTCCGCGCTCCCAGCCCCACACCTCCCAGAACAAATGGCACAGCTGAATAACTGTTTGTTTTGAGCGCCATGGCGTGAGTACGGCTGCCCGCTGATATCGACAGAGGAATCTAATCAGAGGACTTATTAAGAATCAGGCCACAGAGGAGGAAAAAACAATCGAGGCTGGAATGTCTTGGGCTTTTGCTTGTTTTGTTTGTTAGTTTTTTGATATTGTTGCTGACAGCAGGATTAAAAAAGGAAAGATGTTTTTCATTCAAAAAAGATCAAATGATTTCCTCTTTGTTGATATCTGTTTATGATTTGAACAGTCCTTGGCAACACGAGGAGAAAGATGGCTGCTGAGTAATCCCGCCTGTGATTGCACCTGCATGCTCATCTTCTGTTCAACTCATACATGACAGTGAAAAAGGTTTTTCATAGGGCCTCAAGATTAAACTTTCACCATAATCACAATCATCCTGGTCAAAAAATTCAAAATTATGATATAGAACAATCAGCCAAATGTCGAAAAAAAAAAAGCAAATCCAGGACAAAGTATCGTGTTACTTCACAAACTTTGCTAATAAACACAACTGACTCACTAACATGTCAACATCAATTTCTAACGAGTAGCCAGCCCTGTGGTAGAGACCTTTCAAAAACAGAGATTACCACAGAAAACATTTTTTTTTAATGCTTTTATTTTGACATTTTTTACTGCTTTGTGTCAGTCCAATTCAATCTGCTTTATTTATACAGCACATTTAAAAAAACATTCAAGTTTACCAAAGCGCTGCACAGTAAAATCAAAAAAACAAACACTGCAGAAAACATCAAGAGGAAATAAAAAAAAGCAGGTAAAAAAAACATTTAAAATGAAATAAAATAAATGAAATAAAAATACAAAAGCATGAAAGAAATAAAAGTTTTATTTAAGGGACTTTATTGCCTGTATTGGCTTGAAAAGCTTTTATTTTGAAAAGGAAACATACACAACTTCCAATTGATCGTAAGCATAGACTGTATAAAGACTGGACAGCGTCTGCCTCCTTGCTGGGTGAAGCCACTCCGAGAACAGCACCCTCTGGTGGCAGGCTGTAGTATAGGTCATAAATCCCGCCTCCTCCAGCAATCCCTATGGAGCTGTGGACAAACTTTAGAAATTAATTACACAGAATATACATTCTTCTCCCCCCTGGTTGTGATGTTGACATGTAGTTACAGTAAGACTGGTTTGTGCTTAAGTCCTCTTTTTTCCGTGGAGCTCTGTTTTTAAAAGTTATTAGGGGGTTCATGTTTTCTATGATTGACACCTGATACAGCCTATGGGCGTTCAGGGATTGCGTAGCTCTCCCGGGGGATACGCTGTTTGAGCCGAGCGTCATCATAGCGTCTCTCTGCGACTGCGTGGCTGACTGCGTGGCCGAATGTGCACTGCATCGCTACTGCGCAGCGCTGGTTTCAGGAAATGAAGAAAAATCCCGGAAATACCGAGAGCTATTTGGCTTCAAATCCGTGTACAGACGGAAGGTGGAACCAAGTTGTCCATAGTATATACAGTCTATGATCGTAAGCTATGAAACAGAATGAAAACAGCTTTCAAAAGTGGTGAAGAAGTGTGAATATTTATTTAATTTGCACTCCTAAAGAGGCGTAAGCTCTTACAGTAGTTTTGGATTCATAATAAGTCTTTGAACATCACTTTTTTAAACTGTCTGACCATCTTGCGGCTGCCTTACCTCTGTGTTATGGCTGGTTACCACCACAGTAAAGAACCCCAAACTCTGAGCCAATTACCTCAACGGTATTTCCTGTTGCTTCTTTTAAGCACAATATCAATATTTCATTTTCAAAATAAAAGCTTCCCTGCAGATTTTGTTCCCTAAACTGCTCTGGGGTCGCCACTCTGTCATTTAAAAGAAACTGCACTCAGACCGACAATCGGTCACTTTATAATCAAACAGAGGCGCATTTCATGGTGAGAGAAGTAAATAGTTTTGCGTGCTGTCGGAGTATTTGCAGAACATTCCTGTGTGACACAGAAATAAGCTTCACTGTTTGTGTGGCCCCCGCGTCGCTTTCTCTAATTAGAAGGAGCGGCTCCGCAAAATGACGGCCTTCTCACTATAGCCCCAACTCCGGGGCGCTTTTTCCGGCATGGTCGTGCCCTGGGAATCGACTGTCACTGCTGTGTCTGTGTGAAGGAGACAGAAAAAAAGGGGCTTGTGCGTTTGTGTGTTTCTCGGCTGGGCCAGACCAGTCAGGTTTGGCCCAGCAGCCCGCACCAGTCTGTGGGAAATGCAGTCCTGCCTTCCTGTTCCTTCAAAGAAAACTCTGCTCTCCAGCAAAATGGCAGGAAGCTTCCCTCGGCTCACTGATAGACAGGCACGAAACAAGCCCAGCCTCACCGCACCACCGTCTGCCCCCTCGTAGTCTGCATTAAGGCTGGCACCGGTACCCGTCTGCAGGAATTTGGCTCAATGCAAGCAGCAGAAAAACTCCTGAATAAAAGATCCAGTCAAGCATGTAGGGGATGTTTTGATTTCCTCCTCTAATTTACTGCTACTAATCTGCCGTTTTGCTGCTCAGTGATACTTGAGAGGGCTTGAAGCGAACTGAAGGGGGAGACATTAGCCACATTTCACCTCTTAGGATGAGATCTTTGAACAAGGAAGCCAACTAATATGTAGCTGAGGCCGTCCCTTAGCCAGTTAGCTTTCATCTGTGGTGTGTGTCGAGTCAGTGCCGGCCAAGGGTAACTAGCAGTAATCTATCTTAATGACAGAGTTCACCCTGGGCTGCTGTCCTGTGGTGTGGTGAGATTCCCCCCTCCTTGAAACTCCGGGTCCTCATCAGACTGTCTGTCTCTTCCTCTTCTTAACCACTCCCGGTGAAAAGCGAGAGAAACGCTCTCCTCCTCGCATGTTTCGGGGAGGGGAGAAGGAGTTCATGCATTTGCAAACATGTTCTGTATATACACACATAATCACAGCCCATCACTCTTTTTCTGTCACAAGAAGTCACGCAGACACATTTCTGGGCCTTTACGGAATGCGTGTTTGTTCTTTGGCTCTCTTTCCTGAGCTCCACAGAGTTCAACGTGCAGACCTGAGCATCTGTGAAACGGCACGCAACCCCAAGAAGAAGATGCAACCCCTTTTTTTCCCCCCCCGATCTTCCTGCTGGCATCTGGCTCTTAGCCGCGCTGATGCTGCGTCTGCGAGAAAATTAAGTTTAAGTCTGACTTTCGTCGATACGTGCAGCAGCAGCAAAGTAGTGTCAGGGTAATATTTCCATCACGAGCGCTGCTGAACAAGTGTTGCCCATTGACTTATTGATTGCGCAGTGTAATGTATCATTATACAGTGAGGGGCTGACGCTCGCTTCGATCCCCCCATCTGTCTCTCTATCTCACATAACCATCCATCCGTCTTCTTTTATCAGACCCAGACTTTTTTTTTTTGAGATCTCGCTGCAGTTCATCTCCTCCTCTTCCATCCCAATCTGGCTCGCTTCCCGTCCTGGTTAAGGGCAGCTCTGCTCTCGGCTTTGGCAGCGGCAGTAGCAGAGGGGAAGGGGCGGGGGGGGGACAGTACAGGACAGAAGATTGTAGCGGCGTATTAATGAAATTAGCGCCGTAGTTGGTTTGGGAGTATCAGGCGCCAGGCACCAGGGCTGGGCCGGGGTTAATTAGCTGGCAGCAGGCCTCTAATTGGGTCAGGACCGTGTCAGGCCCCTGGCTCTGGCCCTACAGGGATTGGATTACACCGTCAGGGGACAGACAGTAAGGGGGGTGGTGGTGGTGGTGGTGGAGAGGAGGGACAGGGGAGTGTAGTCTAATCTGCCAGCAGGAGGTACAGAGAGGAGGAGGAGGAGGAGGAGGAGGAGGGCTTGCTGGCTGAATACCGCTGTTAGACTGGATTGGATTTAGGTGGGTGGGGGGCTGCGATGAAAAGGGGGGTAGGGCAGGTGGCGAAGCTTGATATGTGTATCCATGGCAACGGTAGAGTGGTGTGACACCAAGTGGGATTTGCTCGTGTTTTGGGGTGTGGTCTCACGCAGTCTTGTCCCTCTCTCTCTCTCTCCAGAATCAGAAAGTTGTTGTCGTGCTTCCCATCGATTTTTTCATCCTCACATGAAATCTCTCCTCCTCCTTCTGCTTCTGTTTCTCATTTCCTTTTGTCACTTTCCACCCGTCCGTCAGCGACACACGATATACGAAGTGCCGTTGCAATGTAAACAAACCCTAAAGGCCAATTTATTTCCAGCACCACATGCGTTAAATGCATAGACAAATCCTTTTAAACCCCTCTAAGCCCTCCATATTTCATGTTACTACTCCACTTTGCTCACATTTACGACCCAGGGTCCGGCGTTTCACTGCAGCCACACTTTTAGCTTATAATATAAGCCTCGAGTGTAATGCTGGAATGACACAGACCACCAAAGCCGTCCCAAATCGTAATTATTCATTCTTTTGGCCGGGCTTTATAGGGTATGGCAGCGGTATTTAGAAACAGGGATTTTTGAGCGTGCAGCACTAAATGGTTTGAACTCAGGCACCTCTCTCTGTGAGCCACACAGCAAAGCTCTAGGGAGTCGGGGTCGAGATTCGTAGTTTCACTCCTCGTCATTTCTTTGAGATCTGTTTCATTGCTTTCTTTCGATTTTTCAGCACCTTTTTCTTTTTTCCAGTATCAATCATCTCTTTTTCAAGCTGATTGCCTTATAGTGATAGCGATCAGATGGCGCACTCAGCTGGTACCTAAAGATTAAGTGTAAGAGATATCACCAGCGCGGTCAAATATCAGAAGGTTGTTTTCTTAAGAAGCAGAGCGGCTCAGCTTGACAACTGTCTCCTTTTATAATCCTGTCATAAACAAGAGGATTAACTCGACTGACATGTCTTTTCGTACAGAAATAATGGCATCCAACTGCTAAATATGGGATTTTCAGATCGACAGTAAGAATTAGTTTAAATACATACAATATTTGGATCTATTTGACCACAAAAACCCTCAGATGGGGGCTTTAACCCATCTTCAAACGTGACATCAGAGTCTGGAGGCTTAAATATAATCTGCTAAACTGAAACAGATTGGTGGCAGGGCTTTGAGCAATATCGCCTTTATGTGTGCATTGCCAAGTCGCGGTATGCGCCCCGGCGGTTGGGCAGCGCGGCGTGCAGGCACCACTAGCGGAGCGCACCCTTGACTGAGTGGCGACCCCGGTTAGACTGGCACCTGCGGTAAGGAGGCCCCCGTCTGATCCGAACCACAACATCACCACCGCCGCCACCACGCTAATACCGCTTCACTTTAGCCGGAGCCACCACAGACCCCCTAACTCTCTGTCTGGAAATATTTCCTTGAACCACACATGACTTAGCCACTCGGGCTTCCTTTTTACTTCCAGCCTTTTGTAGTTTTTGTCAGACCGTCTCGACACCAGGGCTTGTTCAAAGTCTCGATGCTGTTTTGTGTTTTAGCGACCACAAAAATGTAAAGCAACCGATTCCCTACAAAGCTATCGATTGATTTAGTTTGAGCTTTATCGATTGGGCTTTGCTACATGTGCTTTTTTCAGCGTTTTATTTTTCTTTCTTGTACTTCTCCCTTTTCCAATTATTCTGCGTTTTAAAGCAGAGTTTCCCAATTTCAGTCCTGTCTTTGCAGGAACTGAAAAGAAATAAACAATTTACCAGCCGTGCGGAGAAAACCTAAACAAGCAAAATCAAAGACAGAAATGAAACTTTAAATTCAGACCTCATCCCGTCGGCGCTTGACCAGCAGCTCCATGACTGTGCGATCGGGGCTGAGTATGTTTGACAGGCTGACCCCACTCCACTGTGACCCCAAGGTGAGCCCTCCAAATCCTCCCCAGAGTGTTTCCCCTGTTCATCTGTTCTATTAGTTCCTCTTTAACACCTCGACAGGGCCTGACCTTTTCTTTTCGGGCCCGGGTCAGTGGTCAGGGTTCAGCGTGAGTACACATTAGCATAGAATACTTTTGCTTCAAATGAGGAAGGATCCAGTTTTGTGAGTGTTGTCGGATCACGGAGCACGTGTTATTGTTTTAATGACTTCATAGCAGGGTTTCACAGATTTGTGTCGTGGTGGCGAGCTTCGTCAAATTGATGTGTTTTCTCAGCTTTAGTGAAAATCTTCTGACCTCATGTTTGGGGTAAATGGAACGTGATTTAAGCGCGGTTGGTTACATTTCATTGACAAAGGAGGGAAATAAGACGTGGAAATATTTAGAAGCCCGTGTTTTCGCTGCACAAAAGGGGGCTTGGGAACAAGTGTCCAAGTCTTGCACAAGCCTGACTCTCCCAAAGGGACTCTCTTGTAACCCTGGCCCGACCCTGTCCCCTGACCCTGGACCTGGCCTTAGGTTCTCCCTGCTCAGGGTCACGACCTCTTCCTCAAACACCATAGTGTGCCTGTCACCGGGTCGATGGCGGCCATTGTGCCAGATGACGTTAATTCCTCATCAGCTGGACGTTGAGGGAACCTCTTGAGCAGCTCCACGCTTTCGCTCTGTGGTCAATCAAACCGGGTTTTAAAGAAGACCTGACGTGTTGGAAGACCAACTGCTGGACTAATTTGTTCCTCTTTTTTTCTGTTGTCCGAATATTTTTATAAATCGCCTTCGCTCACATTTCTCTTTCTTCCCTGTCCTCGCTCTCGTCTGCCTCTCTCTCATTCTCTCGGCTCTCATTAGCAGACCAGTCAATAAAGCCACAAGCTTTTTTTTTTAAACAATCACCAGATCAGGGACAGATTTAGGGAGATTGATCCCCAGGCTGATCTGCTCTGGTGAAAGGATCTTTATCCCAGGAAATCCAGTCTTATTGGGGATTCGTATTGATTATGGGAGAGTGAATAACATCTGAATCAATTTCTTTATTCTGCTGCGGAGCAGATGTGCCAGATTACACGTGAGCAGAAGAAAAAAACACATAGAAACAATGGACTTTGATTGCAGAACATGAGAAAAATTTGGTATAACTTCCAAAAAGTCTTTTAAGGCTCTTAACAGACCTTTTTAAGCTGTTATTAAAAAGACTGGTATTAGTTTAATATCTTCACTTGAGCGGAAAAAGCAAACCAGACCATCAGCAGGATAATTGTTAACAGATTATAGTTACTTCTACCACAGGATAGGTAAACAAGGGGTCAACATTCAGGTTTTCAAGGTCCTTTTACAATACTAATTAGGGGTGTCCCGATCCAACTTTTTTACTTCCAATACAATATCAGTATTTTTGCCTTCAATACTGGCCGATATCGATATTGATCCAGAATTGTGCATGAAAAGATTTGCACTCAGCTGAAATGTCTTTTTCGGACTTAAACAAAAAATACCACCACACAGCCGATATCACTCCTACTCCTCACTACTTTGTTCGTACCTTATTACACACTAATGTTGTGATTTAGTGGGCTCTGCATGCTGGATCAAGGCGCTGCGAGATAGAGGTGCAGGAGCGGAGTCAGGAATGGACTGCTTGTATCGGTGTGCTGATATCGGAGATTTTAGATGCAGGCCGATATAACCAGATATTTGTTTTTTGCTGATATCGGACCGATATCCGCTATCAATATCGTATCAGGACAGCCCTAATTCTAATAGTTGAAGAGCAGGTTAGCGGATATATAATGTTGATATCACATTGTTGTTGTTGTTGTTTTATTTTGCGTTTGATTAAATACGATAATATAGTGAGAGACAAATCTGCTAAACCTGGATAAACATTTAATTTATTGGCCTTCCTCGGTGTTGGCTCAGTTTAATGCTGCCACATGCTCTGTTAGAGATAAGACACTTTACTTTGTTCACAACACAAATCAAAATTCCTCACAGCAGCTTTAAAAGTTCTTCTTGACATTTTAACTTTTAAAATAAAAACCTTCCAGGTAGTTTTAAATGTTCATCCCTTTGTTTCTCTCTCTCTCTCTCTGTTTCAGATAAGGAGAGCCTTATCACTGAAAGTGGCAAGCTCCACACCTTGGATATCCTGTTGAGTCGGCTGAAGGCCCAGGGACACCGAGTCCTGATCTACTCCCAGATGACGCGCATGATAGACCTGCTGGAGGTACGAATGTGCACACAGACACACACACACAAGCACACAACTGGACAGTATCTGGAATTAAACTACTGTGTGAGACTGTCTGAACCAGCACACTGATATAAAATGCTAGGAGGGTTGTTTAAGCCTTGAGAGACCTGGAGTTACACCATGGGGGAAAACATTAAAAACAATAAACACAGTTAGAATAATTAAAGATATACAAAGAACATAGGTAGTATATGAAAAGATTGAGAGCTAGACGCTGAAGGATGAGATAAAATGTCAGTAATACTGCATTAATTAAAGGCAGGTCTACAGTATAAAATTAGGTTTTAGGACTGGTTAACACAAGGCTGAACCAAAAAGGCAGAAATTGAAAAAATTTCAGACGAGTGACCGATGAAGGAGGATAATTTGAATCTCTTTCAGTCCACTTCTGGATTTTACAGCATTTCTCTGTAAAAATCTTGTTTTAAATTAAAGAGTTTGTTTTGTATTTGCAATATTCGGGACTTTTGAACCAGAATCTGCAACATACAAGCACGCACTAGTCCACAAAATAATAATAAACATAATAATAATACATTTTATTTGTATAGCGCTTTTTACAGGAGCTCAAAGACACTTTAAAGAAAGTTTAAAAAACCTAACAAAAATACAATGAGTTAAAGATTTATAGTAACAAGCTAAAAATAAGATAAAATCGAATAAAAAGAATAAAAGAATAGAAGTGGGAGGGGCAGAAGTGAGGAGTGGGATAATAGTGAGTCGGGGGGCGTCAGGTAATAAAAGCGAGAGTAAAAAGGTGGGTTTTGAGGGCAGATTTGAAGCTGATGAGGTCTGGGGATTCAGGGATGTGTTTAATTAGGGAGGGAGTTCCAGTGTCCAAAGACACCTGGGTTTGTCTCAGTCCCTGACAACATACCTTAAATGTTGTCAGGGATCCATGTGGCTACTTGTTTAACTGGTAGGTATATATTGCGAGGTATCGAGCTACAATGCCTTTAATCAGCCTGCCTGTCCCTAGTTAGCGCAATCATTAGACGGCTAATTAACAGGTCAGGCCTAATTAGCAGGGTCTCATCTGCAGGGGAGGCAGCCAGATGGGAGGGAAGGACTGCAAGGAGTGAGGGAAGAGGGGAGAGGGGGGGAGATGGGAGTGGCAAGATCATTTGGGTTGGAAGAGAAAGACGTTCTGCAGAAAATTGGAGACAAAGCTAGTAGCAGACAGAGGGGGGAGAAGATGGGATTTAATCAGGAGAGATAACACAAAGCCAGAAACACCAGACAAATTTATAGTGACTCTATTTTTTATCTGCGCTGCGTAAGTGCTCTAAACGGCTCTGATGGGCACAGTTTCAACTCTGATATGTCTTCGTATCGTTTAGGTAATTTATGAACAAGGCCCTTTATCTTCATGCTTAAGAAAAGCGGCACATAAAACTCCTCGACGGGGTCTTGGTCAGCTGTAATCTGCTCCCGAGATCAGAGTTTAAATCATTTGTTAAGTCTGTTAATCTAAACTGTCTGTAGGGGAACAATGGCGCAAAGCAACTCTGCAGGCGATCGTTTGTCTCCAGCCTCGGCGCAATTCTCCATTGTTGCCTCCATATTTGTTGCAAAAATCACTATGGAGCCGAACGCCTTTGGCCTGATGTCATTGGGAATTCCTTCCCCATTCACACGGCGCGGGTGCTATTTCCACGGCCAGATCTTTTGATGGCAGATGGACCCAGCCCAGGTGGTTAAGGACTGTCTTCCTGTGTGTCTGGAAAGTAGTGGGAATGCCTTGGCAGGAGGAAAAACAGCGACGGTGGGAATGCTCAAGATGTCGGAGATAACGCAGGCGAGTCAGATTGTGTTAATGTTCTTTTCATCGACTGTCCCCACCTGTAGTCGCCCCTCCAAAGCTATGATTTCCAGACCTTTTGAGGCGATGTTACAGCCTTTTTCACAAGCGTAGGTGACCTCATACACTGATTGGAGTGTGTGACAGTGCCTCCTCTCATAATGGGTTTAAGGGATCCAAGAGTGAAATCATATATGCGCCAAATCTGGCTTAGTTTTCTTGGACTGTATTATCTTTCTCACTGGTCAGGGATAAAACATTCTGCAGATGGAATTGATTTCCTGAACATGAGACTGTGACTAAGAGAGATTGAAAGAGAGGCTGATGCTAATCTCCGTCATTAGCGTCATTGTTTTCGTCGCCGGTCGGCTGCCCGTTCCTCTGGTGACATCACTTTGCCGGGTGATGGATTGCAAAGATCCGGGTGGCCTGAAGAAAAATAACATGGTCGGCAGTCTCTGGCAGCAGCCGATAGTGGATCAGGACCGCCGAGTCGTTGCCCTCCTTCCCCGCTTGAGTTGTGTGTCTGCGGCTGCTTAGGCGGCACTTTCCTGTACTGTAAATCTGACGCTTTGATTACAGTGCTGGCTGTCTTGCTCAGGGTTGAGTTTTATCAAAGATTATGGATTGCTGAAATAAAGCTCCAACTAAACTCGCCTGTCAGTTCTTATTTGTCATCATAAAACTGGGATAAAACCACTCAATTATGTCAAAAGGTCCATGAGAAGTGGACTATTATTAATTGTGGTTGTAGAAAGGAGAGTGTTGCAACTTTTTCCAGGCCTCTTTAACTTTAAACCCAGTAATGCAATCCTCTGATTAAGGATGTTTCCTTTACATGTAAGTGAGGCCAGGAGAAATACGTCTCCATCAGCCTTTTCCTTATATCAAAATCCAGCTTCTCACTCTAACTCAGGGGTGGGCAATTAATTTTTACATGGGGCCACAAGAGAAACCTGAATTGTGCTGGAGGGCCGAACCAACAATAACTTCAACTTCAAATCAGGGGGGTTCACACGTACAGAAAAGCAAGCCCAAATAAGCAACTACTAAGTAAAAACAAGCCCAAAAAAGCACACCCTCGACTCACGTGTTGTACAAGCGACTTCTGGGAGAAACAAATCTAAAGTTGTTTATAATAAGCCGACTTGGCAACTATGAGGCATCTACGAATATTTTGCCGATGTTTAAACTTGTCTCTATTAAGGAATGCAGGTGAAGGATGTATGCACGGACGGCCAAACGGAAATAAAACAACAGCTAGCAAAATAAAAGTAACACACTTGTATAGCATGTTGATAATTTGTTTGATGGACCTCACAAAGGGCTGGGCAGGGACGTCCAAAGGGCCGTAAAATGCCCAGGTCTGCTCTAACTACTAGAGTTTCCTAGTTTGGCCTCATCATATTTTCGCTGTTGGCTCAGCCAGAGGGAAAAAAAAAGATATTGGTCGATCATTAATGTGCTTTAACATGATTTAAAACAATGTTTTTGCCACATTGTCAACAGGCAGAGGTGAAATGTGACTCTTTTATTGTGAGATCAAGATAAGAATAAGAATATGATTAACTTAATTGATCCCCAAAGGGAAATTCAATTGTCTGTCGTCTTATTTGTCATGTCTCTTAAAGTCATCTACTGTTTACAAAAGAGTTGTCAAGTCTGATGGCTGTTGGTACAAAAGATCTTCTGAATCTTTCTGTCCTACAGCGAACAGAGAGGAGGTCCTACTGTAGGTGTCGTAGGTGTTGCTTCAACTTTACTGACCAGAATCCAGTATTTAACCCTGCTGGATAGTAATATAATATGTCAGTCACCTTTACAACACTGAGGGCTGTTTGTAATGTAACATATTTTTAGCGCTTGTACGCCACACTCCTTTTCACTTCTGCGGCTCTTTGGTGAAGAACACACTGTGACCCCGTACACTGTGTTCCCAACCTAAGACAGGCAGTGACTGCAAAAAACTGTCATCGTATACTTCAGAGAGTTTTTTTCTTTTTTTTAACTTGTGGGACTCATTATTTTCCAGGAAGTTGAGAACAATCCCATCGCTGCTCCTTGCTTGTTCTGAGAGCTGTTTTTATTAAATACAAGTGCCAGCTCTGAAGGTCTGACGTAAGATTACAGCCAGGAAAGCAGCAGATGTATCAGACAGCAGAGGCTGAATCTGATTATATTTTCAAAACTAGTTTCTCTGCCTGCACTCCCTCAAATATGTGTTTTGTTTGGCAGGGATCAAAAACATATCGAAAAGCTGCTGAACAAGATCAAAATTTTGTTAATCTAAATCAATACCTTTATTGATAGAGTTAACAATGAAGCAAATTAAAGACCCACTCTGATGAAAAGCATGTTTTTCTTGTTTTTAATATGTTTATATGGCTTTTTTCTGATGCTACGGGACATATAAGAAAACTAAATGTGAAATTGCTTTTCTGAGTACCATATTTTACAGGATTGTGAGGCGCATTAATCAAAACAACACAGTCTGGTAAATCAAACTTTATTTAACTCAGTTGTAACAACAAATACCGGTACAGAACAATACACTCACTTACTGATTCATTCCTCTTCCACAAATCCATACAATTCTTCATGTTCAGGGTCTGAGTGAAACAGCTGTGCAATTTCGGCATCAAGTAGATCCCTCTCGTCATTATCTGAGTCAGTCTCGTTGCTGTTACCGGTACGTGGCTGTTCAGTGATGATTCCAGCTTTCGTGAAAGCTCAGACGACAGTTACCGTAATGCTCCGAATATCCATTGAGCGGAGCAGCTTTGTTGCTTACAGAAGTCGTACTTACACATTTCGACAGATTTTTGAGCGCATTGTACCACATAAAATCGCGCTGGATCATAAGGCGCACCGTCAATTTTTGAGAAAATGTAAGGATTTTAAGTGCGCCTTACAGTGCGAAAAATACGGTATTTCTTCATTCAAATCGCTGTGAATCTCTGGCAGACCCAAACAGCAGGATCAGAAACAGTGAGATTTCGTATGTAACCAATCCAAGCTCCGCCCCCAGAGCCCTACTATCCAGGCAATGCTCTGCATAAAAAGAGGAGAAATACAGAGGACGATCACGAAACAAGCGTGTGCGGTGGCAGATTGCAATGCTCTCAAGAAAGCTAATTGTGATATTAGTTTTCATCGTGTCCCCAAAGACATTAGTGTTCGAGAGCTTAACAGCTCCTGTGTTACCTGCCACTTCTACTACACCTGCAATGTTAGGCTGCAAGCTAGCATGAAGACGAGTGTGCAGAGCAGCGCTGTCTCCAGCGCTGTCTCCGCCCACCACTCAGAGGCGAATTGCTAACTGCTTGGCGACTCTCCTGCCGAAAGCGTACAACGCTACTGCGCAATGTTGGTTTCAGTAAATGGAGAAAAAATACGGAATTACCGAGAGGTTTTCAGCTTCAAATCTGTAGACTGGTTCATTGTCTATGAGAAGAACAGCCCTTGAAAATGACACAGGTAACGCCATTTTTGGTAAAACCTTAATAATCACAATTTAAAGACCATTGAGAACATTTTAAGTCGTAAAAAAAAAGCAATCAGAGTGAAACTTTAAAGAAACTACAGAAATATCACTGTCACTTCTGATTTTCACCATGAGAGCTGTTGAGGTCGAGTTTTCAGTCCCCAGCAGAGATTTAAGCATAGCAGGGATTTTAACAGATGGGCCCCAAGAGTGAGGGATTTCAGATGATCTGCAGAAACTTTCTTAGTAATGAGGAAAGAAAGTTTAGACATAGATGAGTTTTTAAGATTAGAGGAGGCTGAGTAAGGCTTTTCTGTAAGAGCAACAATATCTGCAACATCCTGCTGGCACGCTATCAAAGCTCGACTCAACAGGGTCAGCAGCAGTTTGGCGAGCAGCGAGCTAATGCTCCCTAATGCAGTGTTCACTCAGAGCAGATGGGGCTGCTGGGAACACAGCCAGACACCAAGAGAGAGAGAGAGAGAGAGAGGAGGGCAGGAGGCCTCAAGAGTCATGACAGGGGTCTGGGGAGGGGGGGTCACCGAGAACATGGTGTCGAATCATGACTATCATAGCCAATGATTGTGAGAGGTGAGTTGTGATGTGTGGCGGTAATTGTGACTGGTCGGTTGGTTTCAGGTCGGGGGGCACTGACATGTTTGAGTGGGGAGGTCGGGGGTTCACGGATGGGGGACTTACAGAGAGATCAACATGTCACCTCATCAGTGCCCCCTTCCAGGAGACCTAACACCCCCCCCCCCTCCCAGACACAGACTTTTTGCAGAACAGCTTAGCAGACATTTGGGGGGATAGAATTTCTAATTCTGAATTTCTCAATGTCTCCCCCCGGCAGGGATTGAAGTTTTAACTCCAGCAAATGTGCTTAAGAAATGTGGGATTTTGACATGTTGGACAAAAAGTTGCTTTTTGAAGGAAAATCTTACATCCAGTGTTTGTATTCTTTGACCCTTGGAGCTAAACAAGAAGAGCTGCAGGGCTTCTCCTTTCCTTGGAGGAGGATTTAAATAGACCTGCATTTTTTTTAATATGTGTAAAAATCCAGAAAAAACAAGTTGATATATCTGTTTTTTAAATCTGGGTGACACGAGTGTACGTTTCATGGTTTAAAAATCAGTAGCAAAGGTGATTCGGGGAGATTTGGCTGCACACAGGCATGATTTTAAAAACATTACTCCTGACTCCAATGCAGGATTAGATCCAGTCTTTTTATGTTTATAAAGTCAGAGGTGTTGTTCCTCACAGCGAATGTTTTCTGGGTCCATTTCTAAAAAACTGGAGTATAAAAACATCATTCTTGGATTGAAATCACCGCATAATGTCTCTCCATCTCTCCCTAGGAGTACATGGTTTATCGTAAGCACACCTACATGCGCCTGGACGGATCCTCCAAGATATCTGAGCGCAGAGACATGGTGGCTGACTTCCAGAGCCGGTGGGTACATATAGACACGATCGGCGTGTGTGTGAGTGTGTGCGCAAGGAAACCAAACACCGTCAGTAAATCAGCCTTTCTGTATTTCAGCAATAAGCGAACAGTTTAGTCTTACATGAGCAGGTCAGTGCGCTCTGGTTTACATTATTATGTAGCTTTGAGTTTGAGGTTTATTGAGGGAGCTTCGTTTTAAGAGCTTCACCACTGGTATCAAGTGCATGTTTCATTTAACACACTTATTTTCTCTTAACGTTTAATAGACTGTAAAAAATGCTATTGTGAGTCAAACCCAATTCTGCTGCCAGGTCGGGTTCTTATATTGCATTTTAACTTAATTCGTACCATGATGCAGAGCTTGTATTCGCTCTGCACGCTTGTAAATGATATCTTTTCAATTTGGCGACTTTTCTCCCTCCCTGCCCACCTTCCCTCACTCCCCCTTCCCCGCTCTTTCAGGACGGATATCTTCGTCTTTCTGCTGAGCACGAGGGCTGGAGGCCTCGGGATTAACCTGACCGCTGCTGACACTGTGAGTCAACAACAGGAAAACACTCCACAAAGCACAACACTTCAGTTTATTCAGCACAAATGTTTGCTAAACACATCGAAAGCTGAGTCATAGATATATGAATGTTGACATCTTAGTTTATCGATTTCTCTCAGCATGAGTTCCCTGTGTGTCCCTGTAGCCTCATTTCAGTGGGATTAGTTTTGCTAACAATGAGTTTTGAAGGACTAACACAGAACATCTGTCCTGCTAAAGGGCACTACACTTGGGATAATATGTTCCTCTAATCATTTGGAAAACTTCACAAATATGTGTTTGCATCACGCGCAGTCGACTGTGCAATCAAACGTCGTATCAAAGCAGGATTAACCCTGACAGCTTAGCTTTTCATTGTTTTAGGAGGATTCGTTTGTTTGTTTGTCTCCATCTAGGTTATTTTCTATGACAGCGACTGGAACCCCACAGTGGACCAGCAGGCCATGGACCGGGCTCACAGGCTCGGTCAGACCAAGCAGGTCACCGTGTATCGCCTCATCTGTCAGGGAACCATCGAGGAGAGGATCCTGCAGCGCGCCAAGGAGAAGAGCGAGGTGTGAAAGCAAATGCGACAAAAAAGTGATCAGTCTTCACGTGTAAACTTCAGAGTTGACTAATTCTTGTTACTTCTGTTTAATAAGATCCAAAGGGTGGTCATCTCTGGGGGCAACTTCAAACCCGACACGCTCAAACCCAAAGAGGTGGTCAGCCTGCTGTTGGACGATGACGAGCTGGAGAAGAAATGTAAACGTTTGAGACGCGCAATCACATCTTTTCTTGATTTCATATCCACGAGGGAGACGGTGAATAACGACGAAATGCTTTGTGTTTGCTCCTCCTGACAGTGCGGCAGAGACAGGAAGAGAAGAGGCAGCAGGAGGAGAGCAGCAAGGTCAAAGAGCGCAAGAGGAAGAGGGAGAAGTACGCGGAGAAGGTACATCAAACGTCAGCAGCTGTACTGGCAGAGAGAGGGATGTGTAGAAAAAGCAAAGAACAGAGGAGATTTAAAGGGATATTCCGGCGTAAAATTAATTAAGGGTCAAACACACCGTAACACCAGGTTAGAATAGACACCTCCTCGAGAGATGAATGTTGCCGACCGCTTTCTTCTCTAGTTATACCAACTTTAGTAACGACCACAGGATACCAATATAGAGAGTCACATACTCAACCAAAACACCACTCTATAGCCACAAATAATGTTCAGAACAGCACCTAACTTCATCAACAGTACATATAGGGTCCTAGCCATAGTACTAGACACCAAACATTTTTTTTTACTTTGCCTGATTTATTTAGCAAAGAGACTAAACACAACTCACCTACTCTCTTCCAGCAGCTGCTTCTTTGTAGGCAGAGCTTTGACGAGTCCATTACCGACTGCAGCGGAGTTTCGCAGCTCAAGGAAGAACATTTATGACCATCACTTTATCATTTCCTTGAAGTAATAATCACCATATTAATCATTCTGCACTGCAGACGCGGTAGTTCTTCTGCCTTAGCGTCTCGGTCTGATTGCATTTCCATGAAGAAATGATCATAAATGTTCTTCCTTGAGCTGGGAAACTCTCGAGGGGTGTCTAACTCGGTTTTATGGTGTTCAACCCTAACTTAGTTTCATGCCGGAATATCCCCTTAAGTGTGAGACAATGATCAGAAAAGTGATGAGGTGAGTATATGATGAGATGGAGGGAAACAAGTTACAGCCAAACGTGCATATCATAGAGGAAGCTTAAAACAGCTATAAGATAATAGGAAGAAGTCATCCTCTTGGGAGCAGGAACCCGTCCAGAAATCATAATCACTTTTAGATTTGTAGGATATGTTGTTTTGGCTCATCCTTGTAGATTTTGACTTCTGCTAACACTGAAGAAAATACCAGAGACTCACCAAAGGCATATGGATCATCCTCTTGGGAGCGTGAACATCATTAGAGCGCATTCAAGCTTTAGTCTGAGGTACCTTGTCACGCATGGAAGAAGTGCGAGATGTGAGGTCAGGGAGGTTGCCAGCATCATTAAATATCATCCTCAGGGGGGGACTGTGTGCGTGCCAGATTTCATGGCAATCTGTCCCGTACTAGCAGAGTGATCTTGCGCAGGACTTAAGTGTAAAACAGACTCAGACAGGCCTGTATGTTCAACACTTTGAATGGGAGAATAAATGCACAAAAAAATAAACGCACAACCCGTTTCCAATTCTCCTGCAGAAGAAGAACGAAGAGTTCGAGAACAAGAGGAAAAAGGAGGTGAACTTGGTCATCTCTCACGCACCGTCAGCCGACAACTCCAATCTGTCCGCAGACGGAGACGACTCCTTTATCAGTGTTGAGATGGACTCAGCCATGCCCAGTCCTTTCAGCGAGGTAAGACAAGAAACAGCAAGTCTTCTTTGACTGGAGTGAAAACAGAGAGAGCTGTTGAAAATCACTGTCTTGTCTTGATATTCACTCCTTCCTTTTCACGTGATTCTGTCACTTTTTATTCTATCCATCCATAATTTCTGCTTTCCTCTTTGGATTCCTTTCTCCCTTCTTTGACTCTCCTTTTCCTTTCTTTCACTATTACAATCCATCTTTTTCCTTCCTTCCTTCTCTTCCTCGGCCTCCTCTCCTTCCTCTTTCCTTCTTTCCTCTACTCTCCCCCTCTGCTGTACCGGCCCGGTTCCCTCGTTCCCCGTGGTGCTGACCCCTAGTCTGTGTGTGTGTCTGTGTCTGCTCCCCTCCACGGCCAGATCTCCCTGAGCAGTGAGCTGCAGCCCGGCTCCTTACCCCCCGACGCCGACGCAGACGAGAGCAGCAGCGACATGCTGGTCATCGTGGACGATCCGGTGTCCTCCGCCCCGCAGTCCCGCGCCACCAACTCCCCCTCCTCCGTGTCCGGATCGGTCTCTGACAACATGAACGGTGAGGAAGTCCGCCTTCGACCTGAGCAGATCCTCTCACTATGAGATGTTTTGAACCGTCTTCGCTGTATATTCCTCTGTGACATACAATAACAAACCAGACAATCGGCTGGAAGACCGATCATTCCCTCATATCAGCGGTTATTGTTTTAATATCTGTCATGAGTCGGATTCAATGTACAATACGTAGACCAGAGGAGCCTTTGTTTACATTTTCCCAGGCAAAGTTTCGCAGTGAGAAATATGTTGGCAAGTTGAAAGGAAGCAGTTGGAGAGTTTCCTTTTAAAGAGCACTACACACGCATGTAGAGGAAAGGATCAGCATGCAGATAAGACGTACTGCTGTGCTCTGTGTGTTGCTGTGATTTAAACAGACGGCTTAAACAGAGTCACATTAGCATCGAAAATTTAGTGTTTCACTCTGGAGCTTTGAAACCTGTGTCCAAACCCCCCAAAATGTAGCATACTGGAAATAAAACTTAGAAAAATAGATGTTCGTAAGCATCAACAAACAATTAATAAGTTTCTTATAAGTTATTATAAATCTCTTAAAGTCTGCTAATAACTGTATTATAATGAGACTATTAATAGATATATAGTCTTATAAACAAATAATAATGTTAATAAGCATCTTGTACGCACTTATAAGGGCCTTATTACCTATTAACTAATGCTTATTACAAGGACCTTAATATAAAGCGTTACCAAATAGAGATTTCTTTAACACTATCTGAGGTAGCATGAGGCACGCCGTCAAAATATTCACATTCTATGCTTTCCTCCTTTCTAATCATTTCTGTACATGCTATCTCCACCACTGACGATTGTAAGAGCTCCAAACGTGCCAAATAAAACCCAACCTCAGTCATCGAGCGGCGGCATTATCAGGTTGTAACGTTGTCGGAAAAGTCGGCAGATTTCTGTTTGTGGTCCGCTCTGTTCCCCTCACTATCAGGACTTGTGTTTTAATAGGCTTGCATCCATTCGAGCGAGTGGTCCGCTACCTCGTACGTGTTTTTTTTCCAGATTTATGAGGGTTTTATTTTGCCCTGGCCACAATGTTCCAGTATGTTCTGTTCTCTTGGATCCAGATAAATAGTCGGCCTATGGATGATATTGCCTGTGCTGTATATTTGTCCTTGGATGCTTTGCAACAAGGTAATCCCTCCTAAATGCATGCAGCTCGACTGAAACCCTTCTGGGATATTTTCCACCCTGCTAAGAGGCTCCTACCAGAGAGATTATTAATGACCCCCAATAAACAGACCCAGAGGGCTCAGAGAAAGTCGATGCTTTCAGGAGACGTGAATCATTCTGTAATGGAGGGTTGGAAGACGTAATGAAAGTTTGAATAAGGCAGCGGTCCGCAAACTTGGACAAGTGGTGAAAAAGGGAGGAAGAGCGAGATTAAAGGCTGAAAGGAGGGGACGAGTGAGGGCTTTATGGAGGGGTTTTCATCTGTGCTTGGGTGTAAGTGATGGGATAGACTCGCCTCCCCCTGAGAGGGACTGATACCTCAGGGTTTGGATGGAAACAAGCAAAGAAAATACAGACCAATGGAGAGAGTGTGGAGTCAGAAAGAGGGGAAGAGGGTACAGTGAGGATTAGGCACATTACCAGTGAGGCAGATACTGGTTTGAAATTGGCAGACAGGATGGGAAACAAGCAACGTTTCCAAGTCCTCGCCTGAAGTCGTAATGATAAGTAGTAATTATTGTGTTATTACAGTAAAACTACAATTTCCTTTTGAAAGAGGTCACTGAATTTCAGGATAGAATAGAATAGACCCTCCTTTAGACAAAGATTCTGATTTTTGTTTTCCTTTTCAGGTGTTTCAATGTCCGATACCATCAGTACTGGCAGAGGCAGGTCTGGGCGGAGCAGAGGGAGGCCTAAAGGCTCGGGAGGCGGAGCTAAGTCTGGAGGAAAAGGACGTGGGCGCAAATCGACAGCGGGCAGTGCGGCGGCTATGGCAGGAGCGATGGCCGGGGCGGCAGCTGCGTCTGCGGCGGCGTACGCTGCGTACGGTTACAGCGTGTCTAAAGGTGAGTGAATGAGATCTGAAATCTCGGCGGGGTTGCGAGTTTAATTTTCTGTCCTTCAACATATTTTTTCTTGGAAACTATAATGAACAACAGGTTGCTACACTGTGAACAAAACACACTGGCAAAAATACAACTTTCTGTCAATAGAAGTTGAAATGCTGCATTAGGTCAGCGGTGAGCTCAGTCCAAGCTTCATACTACACCCTGATTCAAAGCAGCTTTCAAGTTTGCTCTGAGTGCACACCGAGAAACACGGCAGGGTGACGTAAACTCAGCAGGTTCAGACGGCGCAATAAAACCTCGTGATTTTTACTTGATAATGGACTGAGTCCATTTTCCCACGATGCATTGCAAAGAAATTTTAGTATGCCCACAGCCAGATTTTTTTTTTTTTTTACAAAACTGGAGAGGCTTGTTAACATCAAAACAAAGATGACCAATAAGTGAGTTGAAGGACATTCACTCCGTTAGCTTTGTCGTCAGGCTCTTTTAGGTCAACAAGTATTGGAGCACTTCTTCTACTGTTTCATCTCCAGTTTAATGTTCATATCTTCAGCTGAGAGCCAAAATGAGGTCCTGGGATTGTTAAACTCAATAAACTATCAAAGAAAAAGCCAAACAGTTTATAGGACTCTGGTGACAGGTGAAAATTTGCTGATTTTATTTAGACAAGAGGAAAACAATGAGGAGGTTTGTGTTAGCTTTATAGAGTAACTGAAAAAATGGGATATGATTTTAAATGATAATGACAAAAACTGTATTTGTACAGCACTTTTAAAAACAAGGGTTTACAAAGTGCTTTGACACTTTGGATAAATAAAAGAAGTGACCAACTCTTTTAGACACATCTCCTCAGGCCGTTTTTTCCAAAGGAGCTGGACCCATAAGAGCTTCTAAAGTGATGAGTAGAATCTTAAATCAGTTTTAAAGGGATATTCCGGCGTAAAATTAAGTTCTGTCAGCAACATTCATCTCTTGACGGGGTGTCTAACTCAGTGTTACAGTGTGTTTGACCCTAAATTAATTTCACATTGGAATATCCCTTTAAAACTTTCAGGGAGTCAGCGGAGAGAAGCTAAAACCGCGTTTATGTGTGTAAAGATCTGCTACCGTTTGAAATTCACCAAATTTCAGATTGCCTGTGTTTTAAGTCGAGGGTCTCAATAACCACGTCCATGTTGTGTCTACCTTCCAGCTGGCCTCTCTGCATCCAGCCCTCTGCCGTCTTCTATGGGTCGGTCCGGTACCAGCCCTGCCTTCAACCCCAGCAGGAGCTCCTCCCCCCAGGCCAAAGGTGGCACCTCCACCCCAAGCCCCCACAAACAGCTGGCTCACGGCCACCACCACCACCACCACCACAGCAGCCAAATCGCAGTCAGGAAAGGAAAGGGCCCCGCTGGTCCTGGGGCTCGATGATGCACTTACGTACACACAAGTGCGCGCACAACAACAACAACAAAAACAACAACAACAGATAACTGACCTTTTCTCACTGTGATCTCCACAGATGCACTACGTTTAAAAGAACTCAAAGAGACTACAGTAACTAACACTGACCACGTGGAGGAGCATGTTGTTCGCTGGCTCAGCGGCTGACGCTGCGTTTTTACCAAAAGTACCTGGAACTTTAACCACAGGGTCTCCCTCGAAGGATAAAATGTTCCTCCAGCCCACGGTGTCTGCATTTCCACTGGTTTTAACGTTGTGTAGCTTGGGCAAATCAATCTACCAACATGTTAAAAAGTTTCTCAGCCAGTCAAAAATACTCAGCAATGCAAATCCTGACTGAAATTCCCGGTACTCTCTGTAAGTACTACACCCCAGCAGGAACCTTTTTAAGGAGGCAGAATAGAGTCCCTTGAACTTAATTTAGACCCCTGTAAAAATGAGTACCTTCTTAGATCCGTAGTCTTTTGGGAGAGTTTAAAAAGTCCTCCAGTAGACTTTTACACACACACGCATTTATTTAAAGGTACAGTACCCACCAGCCTGCACATTGTCTTGGTTCACTCATTATTGAATTTTTTTTCATGGATTGCAACGAAGGTATGTCCAAGTGCTTTTCAAGAAGACGAACTTTTTTACCCCCTGATCGGAAACTCTCTTAATTTGCTACTTAGTTGTGATGTCATCTAAAAAAAAAAAAACAGACGTGAAGCGACACATGTAGCATTAAGGGCTGTGAAATCCCTGCGTCGGCTTAAGTAGAGAGTCAAAGAAGTTTCTGTCTGATGCACTGAGCCAAGTCTTCCGTTATTTGGTGTTCCTGATTCTCCTACGTGTAAATTAGGTTATTTAATTGTCGTGTAGATATGCACTCTGGAAACTGGCGGATGACTCAGCATCTCACAGTGCATAATGTGAACCTTACCGACTCCCCCCAGAACATAACCAAACATGTCTGCAGCTTTTCTACTAAAGCCCTTATTTTTCTAAGAAAGATGTTAGTACCCAAACCGACATGGTAGGCCTTAGCATTTTGAAAATTTCTTGGCGCACAAACGAAATTCAAAATGGATGATATATATTTTTTGTCCAAAATGAATGAATGGGTGATGTTAAAATTATATTCCAAAATGATACAGCAATGCTGCTAACCTTAAATTTATAAATTCACTTGCCTGTTTATAGTTAATTTATTTGACTTAAGTTAAAAATGGGCAGTTCCTGGTCGTTTTGAATGGGATTTTTCTCCTCTTGTAAAACAGTGTAAAAATTGTACTGAAGCCATTTTTACTTTTCAGAAGTTTCCTTGTGATGATGAGGAGTCTGTGGTTCTCTTTGATGTCATCGATGTTTTAGATGAAAAGAAAATGGTTTGCATCAGTGTCCTGAGTTGAGCACTACATCTGTTAGAGGTTCGTTTGTTTTGTGTTAATAGTGTGATTATAAAAAAAAATTGATGTTCCATATTGATGTACATAATAATGAAGCGATGAAACGTTCTCCTCTGGTTTTCCCCCGGTTTGCCTGTCTATTTTTATAGGTCATGTGTACATATGAATAAAAGCATCTGCCATTGATTTTACTAACAGAAGGAGCCAACTGAGAATAAAAGAGTGCGAAATCAGTTCCTCTGCCGGCCTCGCTTTAATCCTTTCGCTTGTCACGCACATCCGAGCCAACTTTTCAACTTCTAGCTAAAGAGGACAGATCAATGTGTGAGATGGTATCACAAGCTCTTCTTCCTCCTGTGCAGGTCCTGAATTCTTGTTTTTAATTGCATCAACTAAAGCGTGACTGACTCAATAATAATATGTTTTTTCTTAATTATCCTCCAATCTCTTAAGTCTTTGTTTAATATGTTCCCTCTGCCACAGTTAATCATTCCCCTTTCATTCTCATTACACCTGTGTTTTGGTGCTGTGCAACATTAAACTCACTTAAATTGGACTGAATTTTAACAGACCTTGTAATTTTAAAGGTTCACCAAATCCCTTAATTACAGCCATATCTTCATTCTGACAAAAACAAAACACCAGACATGCCTCTTCAGGGCGAAATCAACCTGCGTATTTCCAGAGAAGACTTTAGAATTTGTGGTTTTCTACTAATGATACAGCTCAGCTGACTCTAAGTCCAGTTTCTTGTCAGTCCTGAAACGAGCTCATTAACTCTGAACACCTGCAGAGGTTTTCTGAGCCTTCAGTCACTCGCTCTGATTCACTAAATGACCACGATCATGGGGAAGACTGCTGACTTGATATTTGTTCAGAAGATGATCAGAGAGCTGTAAGGGACCATATGGAGGGGAAAGTGAGAAAGGAAGAGGTGACCAAGAAATGTCATAAGAGTCTCATCCGGACTATGAAGAAAAAGGACCGGACTTTCTGCTCAGGCGCCCAAAGTCCTGTTTTCAGATGAAGGTAAGTTTAGCATCTCATTTGGTAAGCAAGGTCCCAGAGTCTAGAGGAAGATCAGCGAGGCCCAAAATTCAAAGTGCTTGAAGTCCAGCATGAAGTTTCAACAGTCTGTGATGATTCGAGGTGATGTTTTATCTACTGTTGTTAATCTACTGTGTTTTATCAAGTCCAGAGTCAATCTTAAAGGAATATTCCGGTGTAAAATTAATTTAGGGTCAAACACACCTTACAGAGAGCCACGGGCTCAACCAAAACGCCACTCTATAGCCACAAATAATGCTCAGAACAGCACCTAACTTCATCAACAGTACATATAGGGTCCTAACCACAGCACTAGCCACAAAACGTCTTTTTAACTTTGCCTTATTTTTTAGGCAAAGAGACTAAACACAACTCACCCACTCTCTTCCAGCAGCCAATTGTTTGTATGGAGACCTCCGGGCGAGTCCATTGCATGCAGTGGAGTTTCGCAGCTCAAGGAACAGTACATATAGGGACCCTATATGTACTGTTGATGAAGTTAGGTGCTGTTCTCAGCATTATTTGTGGCTATAGAGTGGCGTTTTGGTTGAGGTTTGCAAGTGGATCCATAGACAGCTGTGTATTGTTATCATGCGGTCGTTATTAAAGTTTGTATAACTAGAGAAGTAAGCGGTCAGCAACATTCATCTCTCGATGAGGTGTCTAACTCGGTGTTACGGTGTGTTTGACCCTAACTTTATTTTACGCCAGAATATCCCTTTAAGTCTACCAGGACATTTTAGAGAACATGCTTCCATCTGCCGAGAAGCTTTAATAGCAATACAGATTTCCTTTTCAAGCAGGAACTGGTCCCTACCCACAGTGCCAAAACTACCAGAAACTGGTTGGCTGACCGTGGTGTTACTAAGCTTTATTGACCAGCCAATTGGCCCGACCTGATCCTCTTGGGGAATATGACAGACAAGTAAAACAACCTGGACTTCAAGTTTTAAATTTTCTTTTTAATTAAACTATGGAGAAAACTGAACTTTTTCAGGACCTTCTGATTCTTCACCTGTTCACCTGCGTTACTTTATTTTGACATTCAACTTCATCTGGACGAGCCCCCCTCAGCAGCGCGTTCCCCCTGGTGTTCTCTGACATGAACCGAGCAGACTGTAAACAAAGGACTTCCAGGTCTGAGCTTGTTCCTTGCCAGACCTTATATAAGCTTCAGCACAGTGATAGACTCCTTGACTTGAACCACAGCCAGGGTACAAGCTGCTCCAGCCAACATTTGGGAGTGTCTGATGCATATTTGTATACTGTGTTTTACAGAGACTGCTTCCAAACAGGTTTTTCATAAAATACTTTGGATGGAAAACGACATCCAGAAGATCTCAAACCCATTATGGCGTTTATAGCATCCGCCTTTCAGATGCTTCAAAGGGATCAATCAAGTTCAGCCTCTTTATCGACCGCAATAGGCGCAACAAAAGGCCATATATTCCAGATGCACTGAACCCTTTCATATTACCAGCTTTTTCTGTCACCACAAAGGTAACAGAGGAAACAAACACATGATTTGCTAGAGCATTCATGAAGTCAATGCTTTACAGCAAACAGCCTGCTAGCTCATATTAGATCATGAGGCAAAAAAAACCAACAACAATGCTTTGTTTTTCTCTTTTTTTATTGGATTTTCTCATTACATTGGATGAGGAAAGTTGCCCCGAGCAACTACAGAAAACAGGTTTTTACTCAAAACAAACACAAACCTTACAGCAGCTGTTTTTTTGTTCGACACTCAGGACACACTCACTTCAATTACCGCCTTACAGGAGTGCGATGGAAATTCAACTGTGCAATAAAAAGTTTTGTCTTAACAGAAAACAGACTGGCACAAGTTTACAGTCATAAATTAGTCGTACATTTATAACCGATGTACACAAACGTGTAGATAAACATGATCCCATGCTTCAGTAACAAACAAACACAGTCATGCTTCCCTTTTGTTAATGTTTCAGTTGAATTTAATGGTTTCAAGTACACTGGATGTTAGTGTGAAGATAAAGTTTACAACAGAAAGTGATGGGTTGGCATGAAGGATGGAAAGCCTCGGTGTTGTGTATGTTTGTGCATGTGATGTGTCATCTACTATCAAGCTCTTGACACAGGGTACGAGCTACTGGGCTGCAAGAAGGCAGGACACCACGGTGAGCGCCGCCGCCTCGATGGAGAATAGGTGGTGGTCTTCTACATGTGGGCAGCTGTTCCTCATGAACTCAGCAAGCCGGAGCAGATACTCCAGGTTGTGGCCCGTCTTCCCTCGGCTCACAGCGATCTGCATGCCGATCTCCTCTGGACTGGCAGGCCCCAGGTAGAGGGGGTTGTCGGAGGTGGCGATGTACAGCATTGCCTGGACTGGGTGCTCCTTCTCCCCATCTGGGAAGAATTCCACCATCTTGGTGCTGTAGCCGCCACGGACCGCCTCACGCACGTTGAGGTACTTCAGGGCCTCCTCCACTTGGGAGCCTGTCACCTCGAAGGCAATGCCCCAGGTGCTCGCCTAAAAGAGAAGGAAGGCAAGTTTAGACAACGTGCAGAGAGTGAAACATCTCAAGTTTCTCAAGGTTGGATGAGAGCACATGGGCGGTGACCATTTTGTTTTCTTTTGTGTTGCTAAAACTTGTATGCTGAACTATTTTAACCCTAGAACACCATCGCCGGGTGGTTTTCATTATGTTGCGTTTGAGTATCATGGGTCTCTGGGTAGCTTCAGCATTGCCTTTAACATCTTTGAAGGCATATTTGTTTCCCTGATCCAAAACGTGTTCAGGTGATTTTCACCCTGCAATAGTGATAGAGGGTAAATTAGGTTTGGGTGGATCTGATAGCTGCAGTAAGAGTGGTCCTGGAATTTGCATGCTATCTTAATTTAGCCCAATGGCTATGTAAAACTATCACAGAGTAGTGATTTACAAGGGAATTCATATGCTGATAAGAAATATTTTACTCAGCTGGTCATTTTTACTCACTAAAAATCTGCCATATTTTGGTTCACTCCCCTGTGAATGCCTAGTTTCAGTTATCTTGTTGCATTTTTTCCCTCCCTTTGGACATTGCGTAGTTACAAATCAAAGAAAACTACTTTAATGTATCATGTATGTCAAGTGTTTGTTCTTCAGTATATTATTTCGGTCACTACATTTTGCAATGTTCTACGGGAAAATGGCGCTAACCCCCATATAGTCGCCTATATAGGGTTAAGGGAACCATTTCAGACACAGCCATGGCATACTTGAGTGAAAGGTGTTCAGACCATACCAACATTAAGAAACATTGAAGTTAAATTGACTTAATGTTACTAATAAATTGTCAAATATATTGTTTTATCCTCCTAAAGTAAAATATATGTTGTTATTTATTCAAATTCAAAAGATCTAGGCCACTACTTCCGCCGTGTGCATATAAGGGAAAGAGGAAGTCGGGCGTTCCACTTACGTCATTTTCTTCGATCAACGTCACCACTCTTCCGGGCTGCAGAGAGAGAGAGGAAGACAACCAGGTCACGTCATGGACTACGCCTTAGTGCGGCTCAAACAGCTGCTGTACCGACTCAAAAAAACACCAAACCAACAAGAGTTCAAGTAAGCACAAACAATAAACTTCTTACCAACTCGTCGTTCCCGCGGTGGAAGTTGTCCCCGTGCCAGAAACGCCTCTTGTAGCCTTGAATGTAACCGACTTTGCTCCTCTTGTACTTAAAGTCCGGTTTCCACACCAGTGACCCGTACCCGAAGATCCACAGGCTGGCTTTCCCGGTGATGATATCTTGAGGCTTCATATTTGATCGATAGTGTTTTAATGAATCGATGAGAAACTCGATACGTCGATGTTCGATGACTAGCTAGCTAGCGTTAGCTTCCTCCGGTCGAGTAGGAGGGGGACCGGCTGGCTCGCAGGTATACCGCGGACGGTACTGGAGCCCAACTGCTTGGCAGTTGCGAAGATGGAGTTTCGCAGTTCTTGCTTTGCCTGATGCATCGCCATTGCATTAGAGGTGCCGCATTATGCCTTAAAAATCCATGGCAGCCGCTTCGGCCTGCTAATCTGTGAGGAAAAACGCTGAAAACGCTTCGACCAGCCGCTCTGCTGGCCGATTAATCGACTAATCGAATCTTTACGTATAAAATTAGATTTGGTTTTTAAGATAATGGTGATCGAAACACCTTGCGCGGAACCTTCTATGATTTAGATGTCGACGGCGGTTTTCGGCTTGTCCTCGATAACATGGCGAGGCGGCTCCTTCATACTTATACAGCCCTGCTTACATGGGCGAGTCCTTCACTGGGGTTTCAACCAATGAGATTTAAGGTGGATTTCTCAACTGCCAGAATTTAGCCAATCAGAGTTCTGTGCGCCAAATAGGGCGGGATCTCTTACCCGTACGCCTCCATTATTGGCTTAAATCTCACCAGAGGCGAGCTTAAATCTTTTAATTTGATTGATCGCTTTACTGTCAGTCAAACTAGGCGAATCAGCGATTGGTCAGTCGTGTTGTCAATCTCTAAAAAAATTTGCTTACAGTCGAGACTTGATCCGGCTGATGCAACTTTCCACGACATTTCAGGGCCGCAGTAGCAGCCCCACAGGCAAGATACCAAGACGTTGCATCAGAAGTGATCTGTTAGAGAGGCCCATATAGGGCGGTGTGTTTTGTTATATAAGATATGCCACGTAAAATTAAACTTAAAGTTTCATTTCAAGTACACACGTGCTGTAAAAATATCTATTATGAAAAGTTTCATATTTTCTTTGGGGAACTTAAGAATGTTATTCCTGGTGATGAAGTCCCAACATGGTATTAGGTGTATGAATAAACTAGACATTTCTGTACATTTGTAATTAATCTAAGGAAATATTTTTATCATCTTAAGATCATGGAGTTTATATTTAATCACCTGTAAGTCACAATCATCATTTTTTTTATTGTGTACAATATTGCAGTTTAATAGCAATACATATAAAATATAAAACTCTGAACTTTTGAAAAATGAATTTGCAAAAAAAGAACTTGCAAATATCACATCTTATATAAATGTAAGTCTATAATTGAACTGTAAAGCTTGCTCTGGTGGTGACATGATCTATGCAGACATTTGAGAGAGTCATTAAGAATAGATGTCTAGATGTGCCAGGGCTATGGGAAGCCGTTTGAGCATTTATTCAGTATCACTAATAACAGTAACACTAGCACTATTGCCTTGTTATTTGCTTGGTTAACAAGTATGATAGTTGCAGCACGATACTAATTATTTAGTTGGAAATAGATGTTGACTATGTGTTGTTTTTGTGATTGTTGCACATTTCTGAGGCATATTGTCTCAGTGTAGCTAAAGCAGTAAATGCATTCCAACAAATGTAACCAGTGGGCAGTTAGTTAAAAAATTAACCCATTTGAGCATTGCAAGTTAGCTAGTGAGATCAAAGAAGCCCTTAGTTGTGCAACAAGTGCATATAGTGTATATCAGTGTTGACTCATTTAGTCAAAGGTTTAAAGGGATATGCTGGCGTAAAATCAATTTAGGGTCAAACACACCTTAACACCAAGTTAGACACCCCGTCGAGAGATGAATGTTGCCGACCGCTTGCTTCTCTAGTTATACCAGCTTTAGTAACGACTGCATGATAGCAATACACAGCGGTCTGAGGAGCCAGGCGCTCAACCAAAACGCCACTCTATAGCCACAAATAATGCTCAGAACAGCACCTAACTTCATCAACAGTACATATAGGGTCCCAGCCATAGTACTAGCCACCAAACATCATTTTAACTTTGCCTGATTCTTTAGCAAAGAGACTAAACACAACTCACCTACTCTCTTCCAGCAGCCGCTTGTCTGTACAAAGACCTCAGGCGAGTCCATTGACTGCAGCGGGGTGACGCAGCTCAAGGAAGAACATTTATGATCAATACTTTATGGAAATGCAATCCGACCGAGACGCTAAGGCAGAAGAACTACCGCATCTGCAATGCAAAATGATTAATATGGTGATTATTACTTCAAGGAAATGATAAAGTAATGATCATAAATGTTCTAACACTGCGTCATCCTGCTGCGGTAATGGCCTCACCCGAGGTCTCCGTACAAACAAGCAGCTGCCAGAAGAGAGTGGGTGAGTTGTGTTTAGTCTCACTGCGAAAGAAATCAGGCAAAGCTAAAAAGATGTTTGGTGGCTAGTACTATAGCTGTGACCCTATATGTACTGTTGATGAAGTTAGGTGCTGTTCTGAGCATTATTTGTGGCTATAGAGTGGCGTTTTGGTTGAGCCCGTGGCTCCTGGGACTGCTGTGTATTGGTATTATGCAGTTGTTATTAAAGTTTGTATAACTAGAGAAGCAAGCGGTCGGCAACATTCATCTCTTGAGGGCCGTCTAACTCAGTGTTAAGGTGTGATTGACCCTAACTTAATTTTACACCGGAATATCCCTTTAACTAGTGCATCCCAATAACACTTTATAACAAGGGTATTGGATTTGTGCTCAAATGACTTTCCATATAGATAAGTGATGAGTCTAATATTGGTCTAAAGGTCAAAGATCCAACCTCAAAGTTAAGGCAACTGACAGATGAGCCCTCAAAATTACATGTGTTGGGAAGATGAATGTCAGAAAGAAAAAATAAAGATGGCTGGGTGCCTTCCTCTTCAAATTTGCAGTGTTACATAATCACGGTTCTGTCTAATGTTGACAGTCCCAGGTCATTTTGATCCTGGTCAAAATGACCTAAGACTGTCAACAATTGTCACATTTGATGAGCTCAGATGTGGGCCAGCTTGTTGCAACAAGAAATAAAACTCATGACATGATATTTATAATTTGTCAAGTAAATACACAAGTCATCCTTTATCAATGCACTTAAAAATGTAGTGTTTGACAGCTAAACTCAGACTCACACAGAGAATTTTATGATTATAAAGTTGGATAACCAATCCAGATATATGTGTTCACAATCACAAACACTTGGAATGGACCAAATTCTTGACAGACACCCACCGCACATGCTGGATCTGATGCACTGTGATATCAGAGGCTCATCTGTGCTCAATAGATAGATTATCTATAAATAGGTGGCATTATCTGCTATGATAAGATGCCAGACAACTGTATCAGCTCTTCATAAATCTAAAGCGCAGGACAGTCTGGGCCTTTGAGCAAATCTGCGTCATACACAAGAATCCATCCCAACGTGCCATGGCCTTGCATACCCATCCACTCCACAAGGCTCTAGCTGTGGAATCTCAAGGACAGCTGGTAATCTAATTCAGTGTTCTGCTGTTTTATTTGTCTCAGTGTTCAAACCAACAGACTCTACTTATAATAGATGGAGGGAAAGCAAACTATGTTCATCCTGAAAGTTTCAAAAAACACATTCTTATCTTTAATAACGCAGTCCTGAAAGAGAGAGACAACCACATTTCTCAAAGAAAAACAAAACAAACTCTTAAGTAATTGTGGAATTCCTCAGGGAAGCATTCTCGGGCCTATTCTATTTTCCTTATACATTCTCCCATGGGGACACATTCTTACTAATCATAATATCAATTACCATTGTTATGTAGATGACATTCAACTGTACATTTTTGTCTCACCTCATGACCAAAATGCACTGCAAACCCTGACCACCTGACTTTCAGACATGTATGTTTGGATAAATAGGAAATTTTAAAAGCTGATTGAGGATAAAACAAAAATTAATAACAATTTAAAGCAGCTAGAGAAGAAGCTTAAACTTTGCTCTGAGGTTTTAACAGGCAAATCAAATCAAACATTTCTAATCTGATTTTAGGACCTGGTTTGAATTAACATCCTATTGGAATAAAGCTTTGTTTTGACCTGTAAAAAAGAAATTGATTGAATAAATCCCCTCGTAAAACTCTCACTGTTTCTTTTAGAAATTGTTTTAAAGTTCTTCCAATTGTTTTTTTTAGCAGATCTGCCATAATTTCATGCTCCAGTGAGATCTCTAAAGTCCTCAAATCCTTCCCTTTTATATGCTCCTCATGTGTCTCACACAAGCAACTGCAAGAGAGCTTTTTGTTTCTGTCTGTCTCTGGATATCAAGGCAGATTTTTAGATATAGACGAAAAACTGACCTTTTTAATCTGGCTTTACGCTTTGAATAATTCTAATCCTCTCTTTTTTAGCCTCGGACTGCATAATTACCATTGTCTTAATACATTTTTCCTATTTAAAATATATTTATTTATGTATTTATTCATTTATTGTAGTGTTTCTGTCATCCTTTGAACTTAGAGTCATTTTCTGGGCTGCATATGTGTATATAGAGAAGGTGCTATGTAAATAAAGTTAAGCTGTGTTGAGATAAGCAGTTAAAGACTTTAAAATGAACTTCTTGTCTCATCTAGGTCAGCTTAACTTGTTTTTTCATGTCACCAGACAAACAAGAAAGACTACATTCAGTGCATACAGTATCTCTACAGTAAGGCTATAGTCTTTTGAAGCATGACGTATACATTCTGTCATAGGTCAGGTTACTGGGACAGGTTTGTATCACCATTAAAGTAGGACATGACTATCTATACTTTCAATAAAACATTAATAACATCTTTAATCAACAGTTTGAGCCTCAGTTAAGTTTGGTTAAATTTGCCACAGCATGCTGTTTTAACAGTTAAAAGTGCTGGAGCGTCTTTGTCAATGTACTGATTATTTATTTGTAGTCTCTGACATGTACTTGTATTATGTTGTTTGTAAAGATACTCTGTGTACAGTCTGAGTAAGCTGCCAAAACCAAACTGCCCCCCTGGGATAAATTAAGTTTTCTGAACTGAATTGAACTGAGCTGAGCTGAACCGAGCATCTGAAGACAGAGGCGAAACCAAAAACTGAAAATATCCAGTTTCACGGGTTTAACATGATATCCAAAGTATTTATGTGTCATGTTAGCCATCCAGTACAAAACCCCTTAAACATCAAGCTAACATGAGTGTAAAGTTAGTGTTAACCTTCCTCCTGTGTTAGCTTTTACTACGCACCCACTATGTTGAGGGTCGGTTTTGACCCGTGTCTTAAATCAGTTGTAAATTACACTAAAAACAATTCTCTATCATTCAATTTGGTTCTCATCTCTAGGATACCTTGTTAGGCTTCATTATCCATGAAAATATTGATTACAATATTTTTGTAGTTGGCCTCTGGGTCTTTCTTTGTCAGTATACCCTTCATACAGACGCTACTGCGCAGCGCTGGTTTCAGGAAATGAAGAAAAATCCTGGAAATACCGAGAGCTTTTTGGCTTCAAATCCATATACAGGCGGGAGGCGGAACCAAGTTGTCTATAGTATATAGACATAGATATAGTATCTATGGTTTTAACATGTTAAAATTCCACCTTACTACTTTTTCATTCTCTTTAGTCTTGACCTTTTAAAGTAGTCTTCACTCTGTTTTGTTTCTCTTTTTCCTATAGGCTGGATTAAACACAGTGTTGTACCTCAATCAGACCGAAGTACCAAGGATGTTAACCTTCCGTCTTGACTCCGAGACCAGCACCGCTCTTCAGACAGACAAGATGAACTCTAAAGCAGGTTTGTCTTTTCTTTGTTTCAACTCTGACTTTAGGGAGCAGAATTTGGCTGTAACAGTCAAAGTTACAATGAAGTAATTGACTGGAAATAATTCTGTTATTTGTAAAAGTTTAATAAGATATTTATGCATAAGATATTTATTTATACTTTGTTTATACCTGGGTTATGGGTTTTATTAATTTAATATTTGCATGAGTAAGCAAATATTGTGTGTAATTTGGGATAGGCAAAAATGTAAAGTCTAAAACTCTGTTTTCAGTTCGCTGGGTTAGATCTGCAGCCAGTCCTCCTGGGATAAACTTAACCCAGTTGCAGATGTTCCTTGTTTGTGCACAGCAAGAGCAGCTTTTTACATCGTCCCTCCTTTATTTTTATTTGCTAATGTTTTCGATGAATTAAAGCAAACTGAACACAGGTGGCGATAACTAAATAATGGTTAGCCTTTTTATAGTAGAAGCAGATAGTGTGGACTCTGTTTATGCATCAGGCGCTTACTGCAGCACATATTACGAAGGAGTTTTGAAACATGCCACTTTTAAAAAAGCAAAAATGAGAATATATTTTGCAAAAGTTCAAACACTAAGGATGTTGTGTAAACAAAAAATAATGTTAAATTTTTAAATTACGCAATTTTGGTGTTTTTTCATATTTATTTTTTTATTTTATCTCATAATTATTACATTTTTTTTAACATACTTAATAGTTTTTTACAAATTGTCAGTAATAACAAGTAGATAGAAACAAAGTGTTTGCATTTCATTTGAGTTTTTGTAAATAATGATCTCACATATTAGCTCTATAACATCACAGTCACTATATTAAATCTAGTTAACTGACCAATTTTTCTTTAAATTGCATAATACTGATAAAAATGCTTCAAAACTACATTTCACTTAAGCATATTGTATCAGGTATTAATGTCCAGTTACAGAAATTGGATATTTCAGTTTGTATTTAATACAATTAATGTTATTATTGGTCGCACCACATGATATTTTGACACTTTGAAGTTCAGAAAAATTACAAATAAGACCTGGTTTTTGAAAAGTTGAAGTGACGACATATATGTGAGAGATACTACATATAGAAAGTATATTTTTGTGCATCTAAACCTTTTTTCACTTAAAAAAAAAATACAGCTGGACAGAATATTTAGGCGTCACGTCATTGACCCAAACACATGTGGGTACTTAATCTGAAAAATTGAAAACTCTAGCTCAAGAATTCAGTGAGTTACTGAGGTACTGAAGGAAAAATTGTTAAAACCATCCCTGGTCTCCCCTACACTTTCACTTCTGAATCGACATCTGCGGTCACAGAGTGAAATCCTCCTTTAAATCCTCATTTAAAATCAGATCTGAGTGCTGCTGTGGGGTCTGGGGTTTTATCCTGGCACACTCTGACACTCATTTCCTGTGTGTGGGTTTCTTACTGACACCTAGTGTTAATTAGTGAGACCACTGCAAGTGTAGGAAAGGGCAATGTCACAAACCACAGCATCATAGTGTCAGTATACTTTGTCTGCCCATGCATACATAATAATGTGCATGTTCTACCTCCAAATAAGACTACAACTATGAAACAGAAGCTAAAGCAAAGCAATAGTTTGGCACCCAAGTGTTACATAAAAGCACTTCCACATTCCTCACAGCAGGATAGTAGCGTATGAATCTGAGATCTGCTTCCTGCCTCTCCATTCATGACATCAGTATCTCTCATTTCCCCTCCTCCATCTTCAGGATAGATAGAGCTGATTAGCATGTTTGTGTTCCTTGTTTTGAGGTTGTTTCCTGAAAACTCGGGTCAACTGTGCAAGCAGGCGCAGGTCGGAGTAGAGCGATGCGTGAGAAACCCATTTGGCCCTGGCCGGCATGTACTGCAGTTTTTTTAATCAGAGATTGTGGGGGAAACAGGAAGTGATGTCACCGAGTCACAAACAGGATACTGTGATTATAACACAATGAAAATGCTTGGCTGTACAATGAGGACCCAGAGGCCAAAGAGCAAAGATTTAGCATGTGTTTGCGGCTATGAGCGGGTGTGAAGACGAGTGGGTGTGTCTGCTTTGAGGTGTGAGGATGATGAAGGTGGGTCAGGTGACAGAACGAGGCAAGACCATCATTATAGTTCTCTTTGTTTTTCTTCAGCTGAGAGCACTTTCCAACCAGTTTTACTCTTTAGAGTCCAGTTTGATGTGGTAGGGGAGAGTGGGGTAAGTTGAGCCAGAGGGTAAGTTGGGCTACCCTCTGTTGCTTGGAAATGGTGAAAGAAATTGATCATGTGACCAAATATTGAGGAGATGGACATCAATTCATGGAGTCTGTGGAGATTAGAAGCACATGGGTGAAGAGGTTAGACATTTATTTCCAAAAAACATTTTTCACTCTTGAAAGTTTTATTAGAATTGTGTTCAAACCAAAAAAGATCATTTTAAATGTGTTTTATACATCAATGGTGTTATCTATGAGCTACAACATGAGGTCAAAAACCCAGCATAGAAGTCCACCATTTTAGCTTAGAGGACTAATAAAGTCATAATAGTAGTTCTTGGGTAAGTTGAGCCAGTGACTCAACTGAGGATTAGAGTTTCAGTTCAGATTGTTAAAATGTTTTACTTTTTCTTTTCAAAATACAGCTGTGAATGCTCTGAATCACTTAACCTCCCAAGACCTGGCGTCCACATGTGTGGACATCACATTTTTGGTTGTCAAGACCACAATATTAAATTTTGTTCACAAGGGCCTTCTCTCAAAATTTAAAACGAATGTCCTCATATGTGGACATCATTTTTCTCAGAAACTTCATCATGTAAAAAGATCATTCTTTGTTTTTACACTCATCAGGTCCCAATTAGCCTAAATATCAAAGAGAAAATAAAAATGCATGCCTTGCAAGAGTTCGGGTCTTAGGCGGTTAAAGACATTCTCATGTTCATAGTATGGTCAGTATGGTCAACTTACCCCATACATGAGGTAAGTTGACCATAGGAGGCCACTTTTTTTTGGCATGCTATATTATCAGTTATCAGTTATCACTCACTCTGTTGGTTTGCGGGGATGAACAACCTCTTGAAATATATGCAGATACACTAGTTAGAGACAGAACTATAACAGCCTTGATGTAGTGATCAGAAATATGAAAAATGACTCATCTTACCCCACTCTCCCCTATAGTTATGTTTGTTTTTCTTCAGCTGAGAACACTTTCCAAACAGTTTTACTCTTTACAGACAAGTTTCATGTTTTATCGTGATGACACATACTTTTGGATATGATGGCTAACTCTTTTCAGGCATTCAGGTGTTATCAGCAGTTTTTATTGTTTACAGCCTTATTGGCAATTAGTGTGTTCAGATCAAAAGCATAACATACTCCTCTGGATGTATATCCGCACATTTGTTTCTGGTGAGTCTCAGTTTCACTGTAAAGAGCACGTCACACTGAGGCTTTATTCAGTAGAAAGAACCCAGAAAAAACAGTGGACTACATGTGATATGATATGATATGATACAGTATGGAACCGTATGATAGATATGATGTGGTGTGATGTGATGTGGTATGAGATAATATGATATGATACAGTGTTATGATATGATACGATATATGATATGATTTATATGATATGATATGATATGATATGATATGATATGATATGATATGATATGATAAGATATGATACGATATATGATTTGATATGATATGATCTGATATGATATAATACTTCTGCATTTACAGATTCTAACCTTGTTTTTCATTATTAGAATCTGTAAACAGAGATAAGCTTTCATAAGTATGTTGGGATAACATGGTAAAAATGGGGTGTGAGTGGGAAAAGCATCTAGATTCTCTGCTCTGAGTGTTGATTGCTGTCGATTAAGGGGTGTCGTCTATTGCAGGATTTCTGTTAAATCGATGTGCTTGATAATACTTCCCCTAAAATGGGCCTTCAGACTAAGCCATGAAACCTATTAAAAAAAAAAACAGACTCTTCAGATTGCGCTGATGTCAATTTCTCTAAATTTGTGATCTTTTTTTATGGATTCATAGCTCCCATCTGGTTTCCCCTCCCCTCTGGTGCCATGTTGTCTCCCCAGCTTTGTTTGCAGGAGCGAGTAGCACAGAACCCAGCATTGAAAAATTGCTCCTCTAACCCTGAAGGGGAGGCAGGCAGGCAGTTGGGGAGCCTGTAAGTGCTTGTGTGTTTTTCTTTTTTATGGGAGGAGGTCTGTGCACTGTGTGTGTCATGCACACGGGGCGAGAGGCCTGGCATATGCTGCTGTTTTTATGGCACTGCAGACTCACTCTGTGCTCCCCCCACGGCATCTGTTTGGTTGGTTGTAAGTGTGTGTGTGTGTGCGCGCGCGTGTGTGTGTGAGCATTATGAGAGGTGGGGGGCGTTCCCCTTTGCCCTGTGCCTGGCTTTGTTTCGCCATTTCCAGCTTGAGGGGGTGGTATCCTTGGAAACGGATTTGAATTTCAAGCCAATTTAGGGGCTGGAGAGAGAACGAGGGGTGGGTGAGTGGTGGTAGAGGCCAGGGGCGTTTCCAGGAATCACTCGAGGTAGTGATGCCACAGTCAGGGGGCTTTTATATCCTCTTTATGTCCAGAACATTAAATATGATGTGTGAATGTATCAGGGCAGCTGGATTTCATTTTCGTAAACATGCCCACATTTTACGAGGTCTACCAGAGAACGTCGGGAATTAAAGGAGGACAGGGTGGCATTTTAAGCTAAACCGGATAAAAAAAAACCCAAAAACAATAAATGAAAGACACATTTGATCGTCATTTGTTGTTGATTTCATTATTTAAAAACACCTCAAAAATAGTTTCCTTTTTCCATTCACAGACATCAAATTAAAAACAGTTTTCAAGGAAGTTTTATTCTTCAGAAGTTTGGTCCTTATAAATATGCATTATATACAAAATAATATTATAAAACATATAAAGAGCAGTGTGTCATATTTAAATTAAACTCTGGAAATAATCATTTTAAAAAATTACATTATTGGTTCTGTATTTTTGAATTTTATTATAGGCAGGCAGTGGTGTGACAGTCTCTTCTCCTTGTTTATTAGTCTCTTTGTTTTCCTCAGTCGGGTTGCATAAAAAAAACACTTCTATGCAGACTTTCTCTTGGATCTTGCTGGCACAGCACTGACTATAGCGCTCATGTGGTTTTCTCTTCGAATCCCTGTTGACTGAAAAGTATTTTCCTCGATTTAGGTTGTAGTGCAAATGATCCAAGGAACAGACAAGGGCACAAATTTAGCATTCAGACCCCCTCTTCTTTAAGGCTTCTAGTGAATTTGGGCTGCATACAATCTTCACCTGACGTGGAAAAAAAAGATAAAAAGTCCAACCAGTCATTTTCACGTGATTGACAGCTGAAGATTAGTTTCAGACATTCATAAATCTCAGTGTTTGGATTGTGACAGTGGGTGAGTTCACTCGTCTCGACCCTGAGTTTTGCATAGCAGGCGAAGATGGCAGGAGTGAGTGTGGAGGGGGGCGGGGTCATCTTAGGCACCGTTTTACTGATTGGTTGGCTGTTTAAGTCTCCATGATTATCACACCAGGCCGGGTCAAACTCAAGGGGCAATGATCCACCTTCACCTCCTTTTATTGTCCGAGATTATAAATTAATATGTCATATTTCTGTAGTCAGTCTTTCCGCCAGTCTGTTTCTCAACTGAGAGAGGTCCTTCGCTGTACATGTTTTGCATACAAACACTCGGTCAACATAAAGTTTCTTAGTCCCGTTGTTTTTTTTTTTTTTTTAAGGTTTCTTATTCCTCCAGTTCTCAAGTGTTCCAGAGCAGCAGTGGACATCTCAAACAATCTCCAGCCTCTTCTCAGCATTTGTAAACAATCCAGAATATTAAATTCTGCCTCGATTGTGTCTTTTTTTCCGCCCTCCTTCCCTCGATTTCGGACCCCTTGCGGTTTATACCTGTGGGAAAACAGAAGAGGAATATTTAAGCAGGGGGTCTTTCAAAATAAAATCCCCCAAAATAACCCTAAAGCGGAAAAATCTCTTGTGTTTTCACAGCAGCTTTTGAACTTCTGAGAGGTCACACGCTCCAATATCAACATCATATTTTCCTTGGAAACGAACACCTTAAAAAATTCCTCTAAATGCCACAGCGGTAAAACATAGCACCTCTGAGACCGAGCGGAGCCAAACATGTGTGAGGAATCAGTATAAGTTTAGACTTCAGGTCATCATATGGCCAAGATAAAGAATAGCCACTGTAAATCAACCAAACCAATAACGCAGATGATTTGGATTCCCTGAAGTGAGCTCCTCTCACCAGAACTAACTCCGCCTGCAAATAGCATCATCCCCAGGGTTCGAATTGTGAAGTGCATTAAAGAGGGATTGCGCATTTGGGAGGCTGTGATGCAGGCAGTGAAAGATCTGCGGAAATGCTGATGAAGATGTGATTTTTCCTTTTGGCTTACCTCTGTTGCTATGACGCACTCCCTCCTCTCCTCCGCTATAACAAATACCGACTGGTACATGGAGTCTCTTGAGGAACATATCGTTGATATCCTACACTCTGGCTTTTCACTGCAAAACACAAATCACACTCGGTGTTGACACAAACTCGAAGCACATGGTGGAGCTTTGCATTAGGGGGTACACATGCACAGTGAGGAAAGGGGCTGATACATAAATGTCAGACGTATGTAAACTGAGTGTAAATAAAGAATGTGCGGTTTTCTGGTTTAAGGAAGTGTAACTGGGGCTCGTTACTGGTTTCAAACAACTGTGTGTGAGTGAGAGCGGCTATTAACAGTTATTACGGCTCAGCAGGGTTCAAAATGTACACATCATAAATACGGGACACCAGTGGAAGTTTCCGAGCCGAACACACATTATCACATGCTGTATATGTTATTGAGTGCAAACGTGGTCTTACCTGTACATTCTACTTAAGGGCATTTTTTCTTCTAAACATTTGTCATAAATAAGACTTTTATCCTCTTGCGATTTTTCGTCCTTGAACTCCTTCGATTTAGAGTTATATGAGTCCAAGTGATAGTTTTTGTGGATAAAGTTTGATTTCTCTGTATCGCAGTCCACCTCCAGGCCGATTTTCTGGTTGGTGTTTTTCAGCTGCGCCTCTGGGATCAGGTTGTCTTTCTGCACGTTAGACATATTGTTCATAGTCTCTGTGTCGCCACGGTCTCTTCGGGCCTGCCTGTGGATGTGCCTCAAAGCGAAGCCGACCATACACAGCAGCACCAGGAGAGCCACCAGCCCCACAGCCAGGGAAACCGCCGCCCACTGGAAGCCATCTTGGATCTCTCCTTGGGCTACAGAAGAGGTGACGGCGGCGAAGAACTCGCAGCGAGGCCCGGTGAAACCTGACGCGCAGACGCATTCTGCTGGGGGTTTGCCTGGCCCGCCTCCCCCTGTGCAGAGACCCCCGTTGAGGCAGGGATGAAGCGAACACTCATCCAGGACTCGGTCACAGTTGCGTCCTCCGAAACCCGCGGGACAGGCGCAGGTGTAGTCGTTGATCCGGTCTTGGCAGGTTCCTCCGTTGATGCAGGGGTTTCCGGCGCACTCGTTTATGTTGATTTCACAGCGCTGGCCGGTGAATCCAGCACGACAGCTACACATACGCATGCCAGCGTGGATCAGACAGAGACCACCTACAGAGCAGAGAGAGAGAGAGGGAGTTAGCACCAACAAACACAGCGAGCATTAGCATCAAAAATTACAGGCATCTCAACGTCAGAAACAACATGATCTCTATAAACCTCCCCATGAGGCTTCTTGATTTCACACATCTCCATAAAATCCACAATGCGCCCGCAGCACACTGTGTATTGTTATCCAACCCCTGAGCCCTCCATGTTTACAAAAAGACAGAAATCGAGCTGCGCTGGATATTTGTCCCCTTTCATCAACAACATCAGCGAGCCGTGGCGACATTTACAAGCTGCTGCTCGGACCGCCGAGTGTTTACATGGAGGACAATAGACACCAAGTTCCTACTGATTCCTGTTGTTCCACTCTGCTTCCAGTTGCAGGAATTTGCAGGGGGGGAGACAGAAAGATCGAGGGGAAGTTCAGTGAGGAGGGAAAGGGGGGGAAAAGAGGGGAGGAAGACTGTACCATTAGCGCAGGGAAGCGACGTGCACTTGTCCACTCTCTTCTCGCAGTTGAGTCCGGTGTAGCCGCGGGGACACTCGCACATGTAGCTGCGGCCATTGTCCTTTTCCCAGCATTTGCCGCTGTGGAAGCACGGGGAGTCGGCGCACGTCAGCCTGCTGTGCTCGCAGTGGGAGCCCTCGAAACCTTCGGGGCATGTGCACATGTAACCGGGCTCCAAATTCTGTGGAAAAGAGAGGAACGAGTTATTTGGATGATCAAAACAGAGCGAATCAGCCATGAAAGAAATGATGCATGTATGTCAACTTACTGTGCATATTCCACCGTTCCTGCAGGGGTTGCTGTCACACTCTTGCATCTCCAGTTCACAGTTGACCCCTGTGAAACCAGGCAGGCAGGTACAGGTATAACTGCCTTGTCCTGTGTTCATACAGGTGGCGCCGTTCACGCAGGGCCGATGATGGGTGCAGAAGTTCAGGTCTAAAAGGAGAGAGAAGAGCGTTTGAGCAGCCAGCCTTGCAAGCTTTAAGAGGAAACCTAATTTGCTAATGCTTTGAAAGTAATTCAAATGAAAACAGCGCGTAGGTAACACGAGAAGGTCTGTTAAAATGAACCAGCAGCAGTGGTCTGAGTTGTCGGGTGTACCTTGGTCACATAATAGGCCTCCCCAGCCCTCCTGACAGTTACACTGCCACGGCAGCTGGCAGGTGCCGTGCTTACAGGCCGGGTACTTCTTACACTCGTCACAGAAAGTGCCCTGCCAGCCGTCTCTGCATCTGCAAAAAAAGGCAAAACAAGTCCGTTGATTAATCACTTACTCTGCACGTTCAATACAGAATAACATACCTGACGTTGTTAATTCTATAAACACTCATTTGTTGACTTTGAACTAATGAGTGCAGACGTTTATGCTTTATGGCTGCGATTACATTATGAAACTAGTCATCAATCATGTGAGGAGACATTAAAAGCCGTGCACAGTTGGGAACGATCATTAAACTCTAATATAAGTCTATTACAGAACATGTTAAGTTAATACACATCAATTTAAATTCTATCAGTGGAATAACTACATGAAACGGTATCACAGCCACAGATGTGTGGCATCATTGCACAGCTGATATCGCAGATAAACAATGCAGAAACGACAGCAAATGCATGCTTGAATATCATGAAAGTATGCACAGCGCATGAGGGATAATGTAAGGTGAAAAATTGCTTTAAAAATGTCTGGCAGACAGCCAACTGTGAGACCATTTTTTCCTCTTTTCCCATGAATATCTGTTTCTCAGAGCAGTGCGCAGAAACCTTGTCGGTCTGTGAGATCGTGTGGCTTTAGATGTACTTTTAAGGTTGCAACATATTCTGCTGAGTGAGCAGAGGCATGGGTGCAGCTTTACAGTGTAGGGTATCTGAAGGGTTTAACCCCAATTTTGGGTCAGTTTTAGCGGTGGGAATCGTGGATTTGTGTAGAAAAAAGAGGGCAAAATAGGATTCAGGAGTAGTTTCTCACAGCGTGGGGGAGTATGTGTGTGAAATATTCCTGCGAGTGAGCGAGACAGGGTCGTGACAAGAAGGGAACATGGGAAGCAGAGAAGCCAGTGAGTGACGTAAGGAAACATGAGAAGATGTAGCATGAAATTTTGCTGGTCAAGACTGGTCTCTGTTTATCTCTAAAGGGCGAAACGTCCCATCCAGAATGATAACAGAATCTCAAGGAGGAAGAGCTGCTGACACTAAAAAACCATCTTGGATGTGAAATTGGATTTTTTTTAGATAAACAAAACCAAAACTTCTCTGTGTGGATGTAACTCCACTGTTCCCATATGTGTTTGGTCCAACGCTTCACAAGCCAACACCTTTTTCAACACTCGATAATTATTCATACTTACACACACTCGCCAGGTTTGGAGCAGTTTCCATTCCTCTCGCTGCAGCCTTCCAGACAGATAGCTGAAACGAAAAAACAAAAACAAATGAAACTTCATTTCAAGACACAAAACTTTCAGACTGTTGAAACTTAAGATGTTAAATCCTGGCATATGAGTGCATTATACTGTAAAAAGTAAATACACAGTTCCTAACCTTCATACCAATTGGCTACGATGACCTGAAATAGCAAACTTTATTTTAGGTTCAAGAGGCCTCTCTAAACCTGTCCCCCACACCCCCCAACTGTCACACGGGGGGAAAAGTCGGTTGAGGGTTTGTTTGTCCCGTTTTAAGTGTACCGGTCTTTCATGACACTGATTCTCAGGACTACATATCAGGCTGCTGACGGTAAGCGGCCGGTTTAGTCCCGAACAGATGCTCGCTCTCAATAGCAGACAGCTGTCACTATTGTTGTTTGTGGTCTGCCACAACCATATTTGCAGCTGCCACCGCCGCGCGCCCAACAATGGAGGGGACTAACTATCGATGGCGCGTGGCGGATAATAATGCCGCGATTAACCTTGGCGCGTGCTGTCGTCCAGAGCTCCTCCTGTATCAGTGCGCGCGCTCTCCCCCCCACCCACGGATTATGTTACCGGGCACGCGCCTTACAGTTGTTAATGAAGGTGCATAAAAAGACGCGTTTTAAACATAGACTGTATATACTATACTTTACAATATACATATATACTAAGACATATATACTATATACATATACTTTATACAGTATATAGTTTCAAAGATAAACTAAAGTGGGATTAAACTTCAATTCAATTCGACTTGTGAAAGCAAATATTAGCACTAACAAGCTAATTATCATTTAGCACACAGCTTTCATTAGCAGCCATGTTTATTTAGAGTAGCATAGCCCACTTATTCAAGCTTGTGTTTATCTTAAACCCACAGTGTGATACTCAAAAAGCCCAGTTTCTTCACCCCTCCTCAAACATGTAGGCCAGGAAGTTTAAATTTGATATATAGGGGTGAAAAGAGGGGAAATTATAGTGTCTGAAAGATACCCCATCTATCTTTCACATGTATATTTTCTGTAGTCACTCAGGATTGATGTGTCTGTAATTGCAACACGTGAGCCCATCTGGTTAGTATTTGGCGCCACAGTCAAAATAGCACATGCCAATTTCTCTTTCACCGAGTGACACGGATGACAGATCCGCTGTCACCCATGTGGTCGCATACATCCAGCACATGGTAGCTATTACTCTCACGGTGCCTCTTTCCAATCCACTCTTTGATTAATTTGTTTTGGTGAAAAAGGGCCCTTGGTATTGTGGAGCCAAATGGCATCAGGCCTCCTCGTATAGGCGCTTATTCAGAGCTTTCCAAAAACATGGGAGTGTTGCTCTGTGATTTTCACCAAGTGGGTTTAGCTGTTGTCATGCTAAGCTGTCTCATACTCGCAAACCCGCACATCACGCAAATTATACGAGGCGCATATCTCTGACAAATGCTCTCTTCACCCAAATTGCCTGTTGGAACTGCCAGCTATCATTACGTCATGTCTTATTAGAGCAGTCGTGATCTTGTGGCCTTAATGATAATGACCCAAGAATGACTTTACAGCTTTGAGGCAGCCAATATCTATAATTGCTCAGAAATCTTTTCTTCTCCTGAGGAACAGAACAAAATTGATGAGGGTCAAAGGTGAAACAGCAAAAGGAAACCTCTTAGTGAAGACTTTCCACCCAGTCCTAAGACGTCACCATAAATTGACAACAACCAGGCCCTCAAAACCAAGTGAAATGAACAAAAACAAAACCAGGCTGCAAATAAAAGTGAATCAGCTAGTCGCAAACAGGCTAAATAGTAGATATCAAGTCTCTTACGTTCTTCGCAGTATTTCCCCTTCCAGCCAGGCAGACAGGACAGCTGCCCATTCCGGTTGCAGGTGTAATGTCCAAATCGGTCATCCCTGGGCGTGCACTTTTTGGAGCAGCTATCTCCGTAGTAACTTTCATTGCAGATGAATCTGTATGAGTATCTCAGCTCTGTCTGTTTTACCATCTGCATTTCTTGAGACCAATCGGTCCCTACACCCAGTTGCTTTTTGATGGCGAAAAAGCTAATCAGGAAGTCTGGGTTGTTGGTATCTGAAAGAGGGGAAAAGATACAGGAAGCAGGGGTTACTATTTGATATTTCGTCGATGTTCCAGTAATTCTAAGGTTTTGTGTCAACAAGTGCATCATAAATGGCCCGCGAGTTCAAAAGTCATCCACTTTTTGCTTTAATAACCTGCCCATTATCAAACTGCATCCCTTATCAAACCCCATACAGCTTAGATGAAAGATAAACTCAGGTTGAAATTTCCTCTTTCTTTTCCGTCAGCGAAAACATTCCCAGGCCCAGTCCCCTCTTCCAAAGGGCGGAACAGAGTAAGGTGTAAAATACAGGAAGATGCAGTCAGGGCTTTTTGGCAGGCGCTGCGTATTCTCACCAAAGCCCACTGCTCTTTCCCACGCCAAAAATAAACCAGAGGAAGTTCAATTGTATTTGGTATAAGAATGAAAAAGGTGTTCTGAAGTTCATAACAAAGGAGCAAATAGTCGTGAAAATGTGTGAAAATGATGAACAATAAAACTAGGATGTAATAAGGGATCGATTTGGGTTTGATAGTTGACACTTTCTGCTCTTTCCAGGTGCTTGTTTTTGTGGAGAATGGAAAAGTAGTTGAGGAGGTTTTTTGTGTGAAATGAACAGGAAGAGCTCCCTCTTGTGGTTGAAAACGGTGCACTTACCTACAGGTATGTTTCCATAAGGTGAATGCCAGGCTTCAATTATTAATGAGAATGACCCCTAAGGAGGAACACATAAAGTTAATTAAAATCTGTTGCACTATTTTCCAAAAAGATATAATTTAGACAGTTATTCTAAAATATTGTCTCATTTATTGTATTTAAAGGCTGCAGATGGTTAAAAATATCATAAAGAAAAACAATGTTTGCCTCCTGGTAACCATCAAATCTATCTTAGACGGAGAATTAAGTGATGTGAAGGATTAGATAAGCTGACCAATACAAATGCACGGCAGATCCCAAAATAATAAGGTCGCTGCAATAAAACAAATACAGTGGGTGTTTTTGCTCCACGCTCTTACCGGCCAGCCAAAGTTGAACGGTATCTGAATCGGTCTGGGTAAAGTGCCACTGTCTTTGGCGCTGAAAGAGTTCGTCCCCAGCACCCCTGTCATAGTACTTCCAAAGATGCAGTCACCTGGCGACACCACAGCCTGATAGTTCTTCAAGCAAATTCTAAAATAAGTCCTGCAGTTGGGTTTGCACGCGTTCCCGTTTGCCAGCAAACCTTTGTGGTTTTTAAATTCGTGCAGATCGAGCTCAAAAACACCAGAGCCAAATACCTAAAAGAGAAGCAGATAGAGGTTTAAGGGAAAATATCGGTGAGGTTTTTACATCTTGGAGAGAATGATCTTGAAATGAATAAAGTGGCTCTCCATTTGCATTTTGTTTTATCCTGGCTTATACCTGCGTTATCAACGTGGTGCTGAATGCGATTGTAAAGGTGAACCAGGCTGCCATCCTTCTCGTTTCTCCAAGGCAGCCGCGTCACCAGCCAATGAAGCAGCAAAACCTTCCTATTCCAAAGTATTTACACCAAGGTAAACAAAATGGAAAACGTGAAGAAATCTTTTTGAAAAACGCGTATAAATCCTTCTTCACTCCCAGGGAGTTCTCCCTTAGCTCCTTGTCGCCGTGCGTCAAAAGCGTCCAGAGAAAGCGCTCCCAATCTCCAAGTTATCCAAAGGTGAGTGAAAGAGAAATATCCACAGCCGTGCGTCTCTCAGTGGGCAGGCGTCCCCTTCCTTTGCGTGGTACTGTACTCCACAAATAGTCCCCTCCGCTGCGTGCGCGCGGCTCTGAGCTTGTTTTGGTGCTGAACTTGGTGCGTAAATGCGCCACGGATGTTCACCACTCGTCTTATTACTCGTGAATGAACCGTGGCGTGTCTCCTCCCAGATATATAGACTTGCTGCTCATTACATAAACTGTCAATCACCCCAACTAACACCGCCCACTTTACATATTCAACCCCCTTCCTTTCCAACCCAACAACAATTATCCAGATTTAATACCCACTGGCACTGCTCTCACTGACCACCACGGATACTGGGCGATTATTAACAAGCCTGAACATCTGTTGACTTATTTTTAGCGCACAATACGCCGGACGCGCGTTTTACTCACTGTGGAGAGTGAGTGAGGACAATGAAGGAGAGCTGAAAGTTGGGAAATAAAAAAGCAGGATTTCAGATATTGTCTTGCTCCTCTTCGCACCTTTTAGCCCTTGGTTCCACTCAATTGCACGCCTAATGAGTCTTTATACAGCGCTGTAACCGTGCGCACTATTCTCTCTCCCTCTCTCTCTCTCTGGGGTCAAATGTGCCTCTCCCTCGAGCAGTAGCACAAATATCCTTTGTCCTGACTTATTCTAAGATATTTGGAAGCAAAGCTGAACCATCTCAAAGCCAATGTCCCAACACTCACAAACAAAATATATTTGATAACTATTATATTCTCAGAAATACAGATAATTCTCTTTTACGCACAGGCTCATAATCTGCCCACACTGCTACCCTAATATGTTATTTAGGGTGTGTTTCATCTCCTTGGTGGCGTGTGCCCCATCATGCCCACCCATGCGTTTTACGGTTTAGTGGAAGCGTGCCTCCTATTGTTGCGGCGCGTGCCCCTCTCTCGCCCTCATGCGGGTGTAATGTGCGGGACGGGAGACATAACTATTCAGCTGTATGCAAATGAGCTCTCTCTCTCTCTCTCTCCCTTCCTCTTTCTCGCGCACACACTCACAATCACCTGCATCCCGTAAAATTGGTTTATCCTTCCCTCTAGCCTTAATGGGAATGACACAGGGCCCACTCGCTGAGAGGATTGAGATAAAAGATTTAATTCGATGGCCTTAAATTGACAGTTGTGATACGCGCGTAAAACAAACACTTTAGATCAACTTGGCATGAAGTAAAATGTCTTTACGCGTTGTTAAATGATCCCTTATTTCAACTCATACCCCTCTTTATCCACAAAACAATTATTAGAGAAAAAATAGTCCCTCAAAGGAATACACTAGCACAGTGAAAAGAGGTATTTAGGAGTTTGATTGTTCAAGAATAGCAGTAGAAGTACTTTGTTTTCTCATAGCCATCTCGTGGGTTGTTTTTTTGATAATCTAATTGGTTGTATTTGTTATTCGATCACCCGTGTCTCTCCCATTTACCATCTGGTGGGAGACTGGCAGCCCGACGCACCGTTTTGTATCGTCTGTTCACGGAGGGCACGCGCCAATTTTCTCCAACCTGTTCATCTACATGGTGTTTGGCATCAGCTGCGCCGTTTGTGCAGTAAAAGAACTACAGTAATAACACTCCGAAGGATGTGTTATTTCCCATGTTGTTGTAGAGGCTGGAAATAATCACAGAAGAAAATCCGAATGCAACAGGATACAATCATGGCACACGGAGGGGATACAGCAGGCTTTCTGGAAAAATCCGATTACAAGCAACTTCAAGACTAATTAGATACCAAAATATTGAATTACTCACTCAGTTCTTTATTTGTGCTATTGCATTAGCTGTGTAGATAATAGCAAGAAGCATAGATGCAAGAGTAGAACATCTATTATCTGACACACTTGCTATTGACACTTTGACAAACTGGCTGTTCAGAATCTGTTACAGCAAAACAAATCAAAGATAAAATCTTAAAAAGCATAACTTAATCTTGGACATACTGATTGGAAATTAACGTGAAAATGATCCCTTTTAGGAGAAAATAGATTTCATGTTGATGTCCATTGTTGATGCTGCCTTGAACTCTACATGATCCCTACATGTTTGCCTTTCATCTGCTCGTATGGTAGCTGTGCACTGCTGAGAGTGAAAATGGAAAGCATCTATATTTATTCAGTGTTTATACGAGGCAGGCATAGTGGATTGGTTGAATGCTTGTCATATTGACACACCTGTTGTGTCTCCAATGGGCCCGCAGAGACACAATGGCATTGGCTTTGTGATCCTGAATGCCGCACAGCTCCTCCCTGCGTCTAAATCGCCACTTGGCTGCTTATTCAGTCGGACAGAATCTTCGCCTGAAAACAAAATCTTTGGGTGTTTTTTACGCTCTTTATTTGCACTTAACCTGTTTGTTTTCCCTCTGGATTGTAAATGGAGCTGTGATTCCAGCTTTGCCCTCCTTATCGCCCCGTCTGCCCTGCCAGTAACAACTTCTAATGCTCAGTATTACCTCTCTTATCTCCTTTTATAGCCGTAGGCCCCCGGTCTAGCTACCATGAAAGTGCCATAAAAGAGGGCGATAATTGCAGGTAATAGTAGGTTTCACAGGTGAGCAACACTCTCTCCACTATGAGGCGAAGCAAATTGACATCTGAGCCGTGTGTTCTTTTCTACGCACCCGAAACAAACTGTACACAGAGGCTATACTTTATCATAATACTGTCAGATGGCCCAGGACTTTATTATACCGCGACACACATGTTTCATGTTGATTTATGATAACAGCCTGTTCGGTGTGGAAGAACTGGGTGTGTTTTCTTTAAAAACATGGATTTGAGTGGGAGACGAGAAACCTTATGTTCAGCAAGCTCCGTCATGTAGCTTACTACTGTTTTAGAGACACCAAGAATAGATTTGGTCATTTGTCACGTTACATTAGCAAACAATATAAGAGCAGCACTACCAGACTGTGGTTGTAAGCATCAAACAATTCAGGGGGGAAGCATGTCTCAGGGTCTTGACCATAGACTGTATTTACCATGGACAACTTGGTTCCGCCTTCCGCCAGTATACGGATTTGAAGCCGAAAAGCTTTCGGTAATTCCGCATTTTTTCTCCACTTCCTGAAACCAACATTGCGCAGTAGTGTTGTGCGCATTTGGTGGGAAAGTCGCCGAGAGTCACTGTGATGACACCCGGTCCAAACAGCGTATCCCCCGGGTGAGCTTTGTGAAATTCGTACGCCCATAGGCTGTATCAAGTGTCAATCATGGAAAACATGAACCCCCTAATAACTTTTAAAAATGGAGCTGCACAGAAAAAAGAGGATTTGAGCACAAACCAGTCTTACTGGCTAAACCCACAGGATCTGGAACAGCTCCACTCCGCTCGCGAGATTACCGATATTTCTTGTGAGACTGGATCAGATCTCACAAGCTCTCGCGTGTTTCCTCGGGAGTCAAAGGTCGCTTTCACACCTGACCAAGCAGACTCAGTTCAATTGGGGAGATGAAAGTAGCAACATTGTTGCATTTATCACTTGTTTCGGTTCTGCTTTCACACTGTGATTTCTAAAGCGCACTGAACTTTCCGAGCAGCATCACGTGGTTGAAAGGGGCGCTCGTCGACTGGACAAAGTAGGAGGGGAAATCCCTCTATCCCGCTCCGGTAAAACAACAGTAAAGATGGAGCATCATGTAAAGTTTTGCTGTTCTGGGGATGTCAGTGGATGTCAGAAGTAGGTTTATGATGTCATCTGACCATATTTCAAGGAGAGCTTTAACCTCTTCGTCTGTCCACGTCTGTCCACATCTGTCCTCTCACCATGTTTGTTTTGGTTTGGAGTGCGCGCCATGCCTCCTCTACCCAAGATGCACTGCGTATGCACTGCGTATAGCGTCATTACGTACATTTGGTCCGGTAAGCTTTCACACTGCATACGAACCGAACCAGGGTTCACTTGCAAGCGAACCGAGACCCACGTTTTCAGGCGGACCAGAGTTCACTTGTTTGGTCCGCACCAGAGTTTGGATGAGCTTTCACAAACGAAGCAGACTATCCGAGGAAACAAACTCTGGTCCATTTAAAGCAGACCAAACAGCTCTGGTGTGAAAGCGACCATAGAATGAGATCCGACGATCAGCATATATAAACGGCGGTGTATATAAACACCCACATCCCAAGAACAGTTAAACATTTTGACTTTATTTTATTTTGAAAATTAACCGAATATTTTACTCTGTGACCACATACAACGCTGCTGCTCATGCTGTGCTGCACTGGATTGATGCGCCGTGCTCCGGCATCCTGAAAAGGCTGGCGGAGGCGGGATTTATGACCTATACTGCAGCCCGTCACCAGGGTGTGCTGTTCTCGGAGTGGCTTCACCCAGCGAGGAGGCAGACGGCGTCCATTCTGTATACAGTCTATGATCTTAACATTAGCTGAATTTCTTTTGGTGGTAAATTTTTTGGTTGTATGTTTTCAATCACGTTATGCTAATAGAGGGTTAGTGATATACAGCTGCTATTGTTTAGTGACCCTGGTGTCGCAGCGATTTACATATTCACAACTTGAAAGTAAGAGGAAGTATCAGATCATGTGGACTTTATTTGGATTTCGTCTCGGGGAAATTAATACAAGAGAAGTCCAGTTTGAGTGTGTTGCATGTCTGCACACACAAACGCTTCCATTGGAGGAGCCGAGGTTTGGCTGTCAGCAGCTGCTTTCTCTGGTTTTATTTATATCACGCCTCACTCAAGAAGTATTGTATTAGTACACTCTTATGCAATGCCAGGCAGCAACCTGAGCCCGCAACAAACCGACTGCTGTGGTGCGGCTTATACCAAGGCTGTTTGGACCCATTCACCAAACCACTGGCGGGGACGCTGCATCAAAGCTGTTTGGGTTGTAGCAGCACAGCAGGGTGCCACTGACCAGACCTCAGTTCATAATCAAGCCTTCTTCTTGACCGCTTTGATGTTTGCATGCATGTGTGGACAAGCTTTGTGGGTGCCGTGGAAAGATGAAGAAAGCATCTCGTGTCCCCACTGCTTTCCCCCTCGCCTTGTGTTCTCCAGCGGGAAATCTTTTCGGGGTTTCAAAGTCCGATTCAGACCGTTGGAGTCTGCTCCACAGATGCTTTTCTGATTGTTTGCGTATTTGAGGGATGTTGCTGGGAAAGCCACAGTTCCTGTTCTCACCATTCTGGTCAGTTCTCATGAATAAACTGTGATCTTCTGACAAGGACGCATAAACAGGTTGATGTGTGAGAGAGCAGACACGAGAATATCTATTGTTGTGGATGGAATGTGGAGAATGCTGCAGTATTAAATATGAAGAGAATGCCGCCGTGACAATAGGCTCACATTTTATCACCTACTTTTACAAGTCGTTTGGAAAAAATGACAGAATTCTGTTGACGGGAACTCATCAGCAGAAAGTATGATGATTCATTAAGTTAATTCAGCAGCCTAAAATAAAAAATAAATGAAACACAGAAAGGCTCAGAGAAATCTCTTCAAAGCTTTGGCATGCCTTTAACTTGGTAGTAGCCTTTGGGAAACAGGTTTAACTTTTTGCTCATTGTAGTAAACAGTTTTTCTTAAGAGCGGGTCGGGGTATCATGCATTTTTTCAGACTCTATATTTCCTCTCTGATTCCTCTTTAATAGCTTTATGTTTGATCAAAAAAGGCTAAAATTTCTCACAGTGGTTTATTAAAATATCAT